TTACAGAGTACTTTTGCGATAGCGCTTACCGTTTAGGAGAAAAAAGAAAAAAAAACATATTTTTGACTTTTAACCTTGAATAATTTAGCAGACGTGGGAGGTGTGGGGATTTTTCAAATATTATTTATAATAGTATATTTAAGACCTGTACCAATTTTCAGCTCTATGCGAATTATTGTTATTTAACCCTCTTTTTTTGTTTATTTTGACTGGGGTATAAACACTACCTACAAATAAATGTCTGCACGATGTTTATTAAAGCCCCTGTTTGATTAATTAGTTTATAAGGTATTTGTAAAATATTTATAGCTGATGCATAAAATATATACTTACGGAACAATTATCAACGATGAATTTGTTAATGAATGATGAATAAACTATTTTTTTTTTAATTTGAGGTTATTGAAATGAGTGATATCGCACGTATACCGATATATTTTAGGAATGTTATTTACAGTTTACAGATATAAGATACGAGTATCTATAATTCACAGGAATCTAATTTCAAATGGTACAGGAAATACAATTCAAGCAAACAATATGTACTGATTTTAACTGATAAATTTAAGTTGTACCGAAAATGTATTAGGTACATTATTTTCTTAAAGATATTTAAGAATTTAGCATTTAAAGAAAACATGATTAAAATATAATTAATCCCGTAAAAAAATAGGCATTGAGTCTGTCTAATTTTCTTTTTACTTGTATCAACTTTACAGTGGCCGCGTAAATGATCGAATCCCCTTACCTCTTTATTTTTTGCTAAGTCCTGCATATACCGGGTGTCCCACTAAGAATAGCTCTCGGCTGTATCTTCAGAGAAGCTGTATCTCGGAAAGCATTAGCCCGTAGGGCTTATGGAAAAAATATTTATAACTAAAGGGGAGACTATGAGAAATTGCTGGAAATTATTTTTCAAGTTTGTAAAAGGCGGCCGCTAGGGTGCGCACTGCTATGGAAAATAAGGAAATAGAATTTTTACAGAATTTTGCCTAGATAATGGGTACTATAAATAATAGCTTTATAATCTTCAGTAAATTTTGGATTTTCTTTGTTAGAATCATTTTCCCTATATCTGCTAAAATAAAGTGGTGGGGAAGGTTAGATCTATCTTTATATAAATGTTAATAAATCCGACTGGATGATCAGAATCCAACAAACGAGAGCTCGTTTGGTGCAAGCGTATTATTAATTGCGTATTATTAATTTTTATGTTATAATATAGAGGAAGAATACCTATATTATAACATAAAAAATTAATAATAATAAGGTTTGAACGTAGACGCTAGAGGGCGCTTTCTTACAATTTAACAAACATAGCGCGTTTTTCAAAAAAATAAATACGAGAGTATATGTAATTTTAGCTGATAGTAAGAGTAGTAAAAGCTTAAAAGTCAGCGAAAACTGTGCATCTTGATATCTTCTTTCAACCCGAAGATATTAGCAAAATTATAATAACCGTACCAAAAAATAAGCCCTTAATTACCTTATTTTGCAATACGGTAATAGTAGCCCTCTTTGATTATGCCCATTCCGACCAAAAAATAAGATAGAAACAGTTAGTTTATTTTAAAATCGACGAAATACTAGAATACCGTAATATGTAGCCAACTAAGATATTAATAACAGTGAATAAGAAACGATGATTCGGGTGAAGTCATGGTAGGCTTTGGAAAAAGTTGCTTTTCACGTAATATTATAAATGTCAAACTGTTATTAGATCAATATTTTTGATAGTTTTAGCCGCATTTTTTATCTTTTATTGCTTTTTCAAAATACCTTCATTATTTGAAGTAGTTGTTGGCATTTTGAAAAAGCAATCAAAAGATAAAAACGCTACTAAGACTTTCTCAAAATGTTGATCTAATAACAATTTGACATTTATACTATTACGATGAAAAGCAACTTTTTTTCCAAAGCCACCATGACTCTCTATTCACTATTAATAATATCTTAATTATTAGATATTAATACCTCTGGTATTATGGTATTCTGGTATTTCGTCGATTTCAAAATGAACTAAACTTTGTTTCTATCTTTCATTTTTGTTGAAATGAGCATAATCAAGAGGGCTACTGATACCGTGTTATTAAAAATAAAGGTAATTAGGGCTTATTCTTTGGTATTTATTATAATTTTGCTAATATCTTCGGTTTGAAGATATCAAGATGCGGTTTTTGCTAACTTTTAAGCTTTTTACTACTTTACTATCAGTTAAAATTATTTATACTATTGCGTTTATTTTTTGGACTTGCGCAATGTTTGTTAAATTGTAAAGACAACGTCCCCTAGCGTCTACGTTCAAAAGCATATATATTATTGTTTATATGGTACAGTATAGGTAAGAAACGCTCTTTAAAGCGAGGCCTCGCTTGTTGGATTCCGATCATCCAGTCCAGAGTTATTAATATTTAAATAAAAAACAGATCTAACCTTCCCCAACTAATTTTATTTTGGTAGATAGGGGAAAATAAGCTCCAACAAAAATATTCAAAATTTGCTTGAGGATATGAAGCTATTACTCAGTACACCTTATCTAGGCAAAATGGTGTAAACTCCATTTTCTTATTTTTGTTGCAGTTGCGCCTCTAGCGGTCGTCTCTACAAACCTGAAAATAATTTCCAGCGATTTTCATAGCCTCTTTAGTTACAAATATTTTTCTCCGCAGCCCATACGGCTAATACTTTCTGAGATACAGCCGAGAGCTATTCTAGGGAACCTTGTAACTATATTGCGATTAAAATTCGCATGTATACAGGGTCGGTAAAGCATGACTTTGTTTGCCGATTTTCGTGTTACGACACACGACAATCAATACGCTTCATACATAAGATACCAGGTGCGCAATTTTTTTTATTTTTTCAGATAAAAAAAATGAGATTTGGTATGTTAGTATGTGACATAAATTAGGATTTAATGACGTATTCAATTCTTTTCGGCCACTTCCTGTTTCATCGGAAATAACTAGAACTTTTGATTTTTAAACGGCATCCCAAACCAAACCTTCGGTATTTCTTTACTTTATTCGATAGAAAATGACACTGAATAAAATTACTTATCGTATGTCAATTTTTGACATTTTTGCTTAAAAAACCGTATTTTAACTTTCAATATACCGGGTGCGTCTCAAAAAATAGCTCCACCTGATGACTACAACTTTTGATTTTTAAAAGGTACCCTCGATTTTTGTTGCTTTGTTCGATATGAAAATGGTACTCTGAATAGATTGACATATCATATGTAAACTTTTGACATTTTCGAATATGGTTTATTTGAAATTGCAACATGCGATTCATACTCGAAATACCAAGTGTATGTACCTTCAAATTATTCGTAAAAACGTTTTTCCAAATATGCAAATGAGCCACTCTCGTTCCATTTGAAAAAATTTGAGATACTGATTAAAAAAATACGATTTGGGCATCTTCTAACCAGCCAGGACAAGACACGAATAACATTAGTCTATCAAATCTATTTTCCAAGGCTCCATGATTAAAAAAAATTAGTGTTTTTAACATAGTTAATGGCACTCTAACAAAATAAAACATTAAACTATAGTTTATAATCATCTGATGCTAACATGGGTTAGCGAAACGCGCGTCCAGTGTAAAAGTAAAAGTGTTTTGGTGTATTGTGGTGATTTAGTGTTTTATTTTATGTGTAACACCTCAAAGGTTCAACTCTAATCTTATGGCACTCTAGATAGAAATTTAAAATTCAACTTTCTTTAAGCAAAATGTCATGTTCCTATCAGATAAAATAAAGAAATACCGATGCCTAACCATTTTAAAAATCAAAAGTTGTAGTCATTTCCGGCGAATGAGGAAGTGACAGAAAACAATTGAATATGTCAACCAATCCTAATTTATGTCATACCAAACAAAAACATACCAAATCCAAAAAAGTTATAAGGGTGAGCCACTTTTGAGACTCCGGTAGAGTGCCATGGATGTCTTAAAAACTAATTTTTAATCAAGAAGCCTTAAAAATATATTTGATGTCTAATATTTTTAGTGTTTTGTTTTAGCCGGGTAAAAGATGCCCAAATCGTATTTTTAGTTATATCTCATTTTTTCAAATGGAACAAGGGTGGCTCATTAGAATATTTGGAAAAAGCATTTTGTAGGAATAATTTGGTACCACATACTAGTAATGGGAATACTGGTTCCACACCTATCAATCAATCCTAATTTATGTCATATACCAACATACCAAATCTCGTTTTTTTTTCATCTGAAAAAATATAAAAATTATAGGGGTGGGCTATTTTTGGGAAGAACCCGGTATAGTAAATAAAGAAATAAGAGGAAATATTTTTCCAAGCGCATGAACTATAGTGTCGGATTAAGTGGTCATGTAATAAACACTTTGCACTTTTCTCTCTCCGACTTTCAAGATCGTCATAGAGATTCAGCCGCTAGATACGCAAATACCACTGTCTCTTACCGATATTGTATACCGATTTGGTCATTTTAGAAGTATGGTATGGATTTTAACGTGTAAGAGTCTTTGGTGTAAGACAGAGTAATATAAATGACCGGTTGACTGACAGAGAGACAAAATCAAAAGCGGTATTTTTCCGGAATATAGGGACACCCTGTATAATACAATTAACAGGCTTGCATAATAATAATGCAATAAATATTTTTTAAATTGCGACATAAGTATAATTTTAAAAATAATAACACGACAGTAATTTAAAACATTTGAAAAAAAAAGCATTGTCACCACCGCATCTTGGAAGACAATTATTATTAAAAAAAAAACACACACAAGTACCTCTTAAAGTAAAAAAAAATCTCCATATTGTCTAAGGGGGCCTAAAATTATTTAATTTATTTATCTTTTACCAATCAAATACTAATTTCTTGTGCATTTATTTAAAATCGACCAATAAGATTGCTGGGTTATTCAAAATCTTATCTTAATATAAAATACAAAAGAAATCACTGACTGATTTCTATAAAATAATTATCTTACTTCCCAAGCAATCTTTTGTAATGTGAATAGTGCGGCCAGAAGTAATATAGAATTTATAATATATCTTAATTATTAATAAAATAAAATGGAGACTACGGCATCATCATCAACTTTAGTTATAAATAGTAGTGGTAGTAAAAGTAGCAGTAAAAATATTAGTTATTTGAAAAGAACGTGTTGGGTTTTAAATTATGTATATCATCAGGCTTTAACCCTTATTAGTATATTGTTCATATGGATATTGATAGAAGATTTAAAAGACAATCATATATTTTATCATATGATATTGTCAACTGTTGCAGTAAGTATAATTTAATTTATATAATTCCTTAACACAATTAATTTATTCGTTTGAATTCAGTGGCGGCTCGTGGTCATTATTGTAGGGAAGTCAACATCTAAAAATATTGCGTCGATCTTTTTAAGAGGCGTCCTCGGACGCGCCCAAATTTAATTGGTTTCTTACAAGGTACCTGTACGTTTAGTTATAGGAAAATAAATCTAAAAATAAATATAAATTCTGTTAAAATGAAACCTACCCTTACATTTTTACACAGGTGGTCTAGTGCCATTTCACTAAAAATCCAGTCAATGTTCTTTACACAAATTTTCCACGGTAGGATTTAAAATACACATAAATAATAATGTCACAAAACCAGAAAATTATGAATTATTAACTACACAAATTTCGCGCTACACTTCAACCTAGATGGGATTTCTTTCAGTATTATAAATTTAAATATTGCTTTATATTAACTAAACCAAACACTATACGCGATAAACGATACAAAAACCTAGGTTGTTTTATAAGTTGAGTTTTTATAAACACCCAAACTGCCCAAACGGCGAAATTTTTCCAACAACTGAAATCCTTTTATGAATGACGCGGTCAATGGTCCATATAAACTATATCTATCTCACCTTAATCCGTTATATTTTCTATACGTAGTATTCCTTACCTTGTTGGCGTTACGAGCCGCGGAATTTGGAGTTTAATACGTGCAAAACATAGCAGGAACGAAGGACAAAATGAAATTTTGACCGGCATCGGCAGTAGAGAAAATGGGTAAAATAAAACGTTTTGAAGCGAAAATTGGACAAATTGATGGTTTTTCAGCTGCCACTGTTTGAATTTGATTAGTTAGTGCAAAAAATCTAATTTTGACTAAAACAGTTTTGGGCTTTTTTTATGAAGTCACTGAATTTAAAATTTAAAATAAAACCTAAAAATATCGCTTTTAGTATATCCCTTTGATGGCAGTAGCGATAATAGCATTCTCAGAAGATAATCTTCTTACATTATACATGTCCAGAACGAAAATATACTGGGTTCATGGTATTTTACTGTCTATAAGTGCTCTGGCAGTTACGATTGGAATATCCTTAGAAGTGCGCGCTAAAGGAAATAGACCTCATTTCAAAAGCAAACACGGATTGTATGGTAAGCCTAAATATAACATTCATAAAGAAATATCGTATGGTCGAACCCGCCAAACAAAATTTTGTAACCTCAATATTGTAATCATGTAACATTGAAACATTGTGATATTGGTTAAGATATTGTATGTATATGTCCCGGTTTTCGATATCACCGCGTGATATTGAATATCACAAAATATCCTATTCACATTACAGTAATATTTCGAACACATTTCTTTTGTGATGTTTATGTGACATTTTATAAATGTTTTAAAAACATATTGTTGCAATGTGTTACCATATCAAAATTACATGTAGGCAACATGTTACAGCAGTTATAATACTACCAACATCTAGTAATTTTGAATTAATATGACTTTGAATTAATATGAAATTATATGTTTTCGATAGGAACATTTCAAATTAATTCAAAGTCATATTAATTCAAAATTACTTAATGTTGGTAGTATTATAACTGCTGTAACATGTTGCCTACATGTAATTTTAATAAGGCAGCACGTAGCAACAATATGTTTGAAAATATTAATAAAATGTTCAAAAATTATCAACCGAATCTTTTCAAATTTGGTATTTTTACTGTATGCCATTCCGAAATCTCACTTCAGAATCAGAAAATCAGCCAGAAATTATGTTGCGACATGACAAAAATTTAGTAAAAATAACAAATTTAATAGTTTCAGACAGTTAATATCTCTAAAATGTTAACCCATTTTTAAGTCATTTTGGCACCTACCCTTAAAATGAAATCTAGTTCAAAAGAATAACTATATAAAACGAATATTTTTCAACACTGTGGACATTTTAAAAAAATAAGACGACATAATTCAAAACTCCATAATTCAAAAATGACATAATTCAAAATTCAAAAATATCACAAAAGTTACATAAAAAAATGTAACGTAATATGTTTGTGATATACATGTTTGGCGGGAAGACAGCTGGGAAATGACAATTGATGATAATTTTGGTGATGTCAATCTCTAAACGTCATTTACTATAAATTGTAGAAAACACTGCTGCATTTTGCGTCTAAAATGGTACTGGGCATTAGGTATGACGTTGTAGCTTTTATTTATTATTTCTATCATATGGCTCGTACTTTATTTTTTATTGCGGGTTAGTGCCAGTTGGCCTTAAGAAAAGGTTGTAATTTGATAAGTTTTAAATGGTGTAGTTTAAATTAGGGATGTTTGGTCCTAAAATTTCAGTACCGGTATCCGGTATCACGAAGTACCGGTCCTACAACCGGTATACCGGTTCCAACAATTAGATCTGTGGGACCGATACTGAACAGGTATACCGGCTGGACCGGAAGACCGGATGGACCGAAAGACCGGTTAGACCGGATGAATTGGAATATCGGAATGACCAAAATAACAGTTTTGGTTGTTGTGCCACTGAGCATATATCTCATGATACCGTATTAAAAAATTGGCGCCTGGAGGCACGTATTAGCCGCCCATATTAAAATATGTTAATAAAAAGTTGGTAGGCAGTTCTTTTAGTTTCAAAGTAAATGACTTTTTCCAATTTTTTTTATCTCAAAAACTGCAACTTTGACTGATTTTGACGTTATTATAAATTTTGTTGCAAATATTATGCCTAATCTTAAATTGAAAACCGCATTTCTCTAGCTACTCTAATTTGGGAGTTACGATATTTTAAAATATTTAACCCCCTCCCATACTCCCTTACCAACCCCCCACCACCACCAAAAACTAATGGCCAGATTCTCGGATGCCACAGTATTTTTGTGCCAAATTTGGTTAAAATGGGTTTAGCGGTTTTTGAATTATCGTGTTACAGACAGACGGACAGACGGATAGACGGATAAAGAGACAGACAGACAGACACCATGAACATATTTTGTATTTAGGTCATTTATGACCCAAACAACTCATTTTGAGTGAAATTAAAAAAACTTTTTTTTTTCCGATCTTAATAGCCTACCATACCTGTTGGTATGGTCGGCTAAAAATGTAAATAGAAAGTTCTCGTGCCTGTGACGTTAAGTAAATACGGTAACGTAATAAATACGGTATTTAGAGGGATAAATTATATTTCTCGGAATATATCGTAAATCTATCCGTTACCGTTATAACGTTATTGATCTAACTCTCAATTGAAGATTCTCATTGTTTATCTTCACATTTCCGGCATATTCTTGATTTCTTGTCCAACATTCTCTTTACTTATGAAAAATGGAAAAAGTACTGGAAGCTGCTGTTCTTGGAGATATAAATATTTTAAATAATAGAGTAGACGCTATTGAATATCGGCCTGAATTTTACGGATTTTTTAATTTAGACAATATACACAGTGATTCATGAGTAAGATATGCTTTACTTGAGTTTTAGATGTACTAAATAAAGAAGACTATAGATTACTAGACCAAACTATATTAGCAATGCCTTAGACATACATCAAAATAAATTACATTGCATGTTCTTGATCGTATTATATCAAATGATCGAGAAAAAAAAACGGCGTTCAGTTGGCTTGGAAATGAACATCGATTACATTCCCCATATAATTTTACATATAAATGACAGTAATCTTCATTTCACACCCATCGCGGACGCAGTTTTTTTTCGATCATACGGTACCTAGTGTAGAACACATTTAGCTTTGCACAAAAACCGGTACAGAAATCATTTTATACAGATTTTTTGATTTTCATATTATCGTGAATCTATTTTTCAGTACAGATCGAAACCGGTGTTCCGGTATCGATTGAAACCGGTCTTTCGGGACGGATTTAGACCGGTCTTTCGGTACCGGTATCAAAATCGGTCTTCCGGTACCGATACCGGAATATTTCAAAAGTACCGGTCCTGGTACCGGTATACCGGAAGACCGAACATGCCTAGTTTAAATTCGAAAAAAACAATTTTTTTTAAATATATTTATGTATCCCGAAAGCTTTCTATTTTGTCGTGAAATTTCTATAATTAGTGTTAATTTTTGACAAGTTTTATGCCAATTTTTAGTAAACGACGTCTAAAGAATGACGCCGTCAAAATTATCATCGATTGAGATTCCCCAGCCGTCTTTGACGCCGTTTTTTTGATCATACGGTAATATTAATCCATTTTTTGTTTATTTTTTTAGGTTTCATATCCTGGGTGTTAGTGCTCGTTTCAGTTCTAATCGGCTTAGTCGCTGGAAATACTCGAACCTTTTCAAGATACCTCAAACCTGTTATTGCCAAATTCATCCACAACATTATTGGAATAGCAGCATTCATTTTTGGCGTAGTAAGTTTATATTACGAAATTCGCGTTTTCGGAAGATATACCTCAGAAAACGTATATAACACTGTGCGTTACGGTATGTGGGTCGTCACAGTTTGGAGTGTGTTGGCAGCATTGAAATCTCTGTGGGGACAATTCAGAAACATCGTTTTTTAAGCGCGCAACTCAAAAACAATATTTATTTATATCCATTATGTCTCATTTAAAATCATATACCTGTGAAATGAATTAATCGTTCTATGTTGTACTTTTCAGAAGTATGTTTTTTTAATATTTTTGTATGCCCAAGTAGCTTTTAAACATTATTTTCAAAACTGATTATATTGATAATAAACTATACTAGTTCCATAATATACCTCTTTCACTTTGTGTTGTCCTTTAATAGTACATTCTTAAATTTTAAAATTATTATTTTCAGTCTACAGATATCCAACAACATTTTTTTTATATTATACATTACCAAAATGCTACTAGGCATCCACATATTTTTAAAAATGTCTAGGATCTATACCAGGTGTTTCTCAAAAGTGACTCACTCTTATATATTTTATATTTTTTAGATAATAAAACGAAATTTGGTGTGTTAGTATATGATATAAATCAGGAATGATTGATGTATTAAATTACTTTTGGTCACTTCCTGTTTCACTAGAAAGTACAAGAAACTTTTGATTTTTAAATTGTACTTCAGGTATTTTTTACTTTATATAATAGAAAATGACATTCTAAATAGAATGTCAACTTTTGATATTTTTAATTAAAAAAAAAATAGCATTTAGCATTTTAAATATCAATCTAGAGTGCCATATGGCTATGTCAAAACCATTAATTTTTAATCAAGGAGCTTTGGAAAAATAGATTTGTCGCATAATCTTTTTCGTGTCTTTTCCTGGTCGGTTAAAGATGCTCAATTAATCATAACTCAATTTTTTCAAGTGGAACGAGGATGGTAACATATTTGGAAAAAGCATTTTTTTACGAATAATTTGGAACCACAAACTTGGTATTTCGAGTCAAATTGTCGTTACATTTATACCCATGGCACTCTAGATTCACATTTAAATTTTGCTATTTTATTTTAATTGAAAATGCCAAAAGTTGACATATGATATTTCATTCTATTCAGAATGTCATTTCCGGTAAAACAGGAAGTGACGGAAAGTAATTGAATACGTCAATCAATCCCGATATATGTCGTATACTAACATACCAAATTTTGTTTTACTATTTGAAAAAATTGAAAAATTAAAGGGGCGAGCCACTTTTGTGAAACACCCGGTATACATTAAGTTCCTATAAAATGACAACCCAAAAAAATTATTTTGTTACGATAGGAACTTAAATAAATGAGTACCTGGGAGGATATTGTTTGAAGTTGATCATTGTTTATAAATTCAAATATTCGAGTAGATTTTTTGTCTACTACAAGATAAAACAATTATGAAATGTTATTAGTTAATCGAAATCCTGTAACCAGTCACATACACAGATAATTTAGATATATATGTAACGTGCACGATATCAGAATGGCTACTATAAATTAACTTCTCTTGTAGAGCGATGAGTCTTTCTGCAAAATCTATATTATAGTGATTATTATAGGTGACATAATATAAATATCATACAAAGATGAAAAAGGTTATAAGAGTAAATGACGGTATGATGAATATGTCTGGTAACTTTTTTGTACAACAAAAATCTCATAAAATTTTAATATTATAAATATTATTTTAAGTACACATTGTAGATACTTCCTACAAAATATATTTTCTAAATAAACTTAATAAACTATAACTATTTATAATCTACCCTCAACGGCACGAAAAACGGGAACCTTAAAATTTTGATATATTATAAGTTTGATATATTTTGTTCTAGTGGGCCGATTTTGACGATTTTTTAAGCAGTTTGTATCTAAATTATTTGATTTTTTAGTATTTCTTTCCAAATTAAAAATGAAAGTTCCTGTCTGTAAATAAAGAAGAGGGAAAAGAAAATGTTGATATTTTTATTTCTAGTGAAGATGATTTTAAGTTCTGAAGTATCGGCTATTGCTGCTTTAGTTGACCTGGTAGAGATCAACTTTTGGACTTAAAACTTAAAAACATCCCTGCTAGAGTATGTATTATTATTGTCTGCTCAACAGATAATAATAATATGATTTTTCAAAGACAGTGAAATTACATAAATCATAAACACTACTTTATAGGTCTATCACTAGGACCAAAAGCAAAGGTATGGCTTTAATGTAAAAAATATGAAAAAAATGTGCCTTTTTTAAAAGTAAATATCTCCCAAAAAATAAAGTTATTGAGATGAACCAAAGAAAAAACACAAATTATCGAGAAACGATACACCTAGATGATAAAATGATTTTTAAATTCCTTGCTTTGTTAACATACTCCACAGGGTGTTTCAAAGTTTCACCAAAATATCAACATTTTTTTCCTTCGTATAATTGACCGATGGTAATTTTAATATTTAATTTAGAAAAAAATATTAAAAAGTCATATAATTTAGCTACAAATTGCTTAAATAATCATCAAAATCTTTCCTCATTCAAAATATTTTTATCTTCAGTACAGTGCGATTCACTAACTTGAACAAATTCAATAAATTAAAGAATTTTTATTTCGGAAATATGCTATGACACGTCGCCGTCGATTAGTGTTTCATATCGTGCTCATTTTAATATAAGAAAATTTTATACAGCATGTCTCAAGTTGAGATATGACCTCATCGACATTTTTTTAAGTACCAATCATACTTTTTATATCAATAACGGGTGCGTCTCAAAAGTGGCTCACCCCTATAACTTTTTTATTTTTTCAGATAAAAAAACGAAATTTGGTATGTTAGTATACGACATAAATTAGGATTGATTGACGTATTCACTATTGTTTTTGGTCACTTCCTGTTTCACCAGAAATGACTACAACTTTTGATTTTTAATTTTTAAGTCATACTTTTTATATCTATACCGGGTGCGTCTCAAAAGTGGCTCACTCCTATAACTTTTTTATTTTTTCAGATAAAAAAACGAAATTTGGTATGTTAGTATACGACATAAATTAGGATTGATTGACGTATTCACAATTGTTTTTGGCCACTTCCTGTTTCACCAGAAATGACTATAACCTTTGATTTTTAAATAGCACCCTCGGTATTTTTTTACTTCATTCGATAGAAAATGACATTCTGAATAGAACATTCTGACATTCTCGCTTAATAAAAAATCGTATTTTAAAATTCAATCTAGAGTGCCATTGTTATGTTAAAAACACTAATTCTTAATCAAGGAGCCATGGAAAAATAGATTTTATCGTTTAATGTTTTTAGTACCTTAGTAATACCTTAGTTCTTGTCCTGGCCAGTTAGGAAATACGCAAATCGTATTTTTAATCATATCTCAATTCTTTCAAATGGAACGAGGGTGGCTCATTAGCATATTTGTAAAAAGCATTTTTTACGAATAATTGGATACCACACCACAATATACCAGTAAGTACTGGTATATTTCGAGTCAAATTTTTGTTACGAACCGCAAGTTATAATTTCAAATAAACCATATGCGAAAATGTCATTATATTCAGAGTGTTATTTTCTATCGAATAAAGTAAAAAAATACCGAGGGTGTCATTTAAAAATCAAAAGTTGCAACAGGAAGTGACCGAAAACAATTGAATACGTCAATAAATCCTAATTTATGTCATATACTAACAAAGCAAATCTGGTTTTTTTAACTGAAAAAATAAAAAAGTTATAGGGGTGAGCCACTTTTGAGACGCACCCGGTATCACTATTTTAAAGGGTATACTCATTACTAACTTTGGTGCGGCTGAGAGAGATGTCGAAGATGGAGAGCTGACCTCTGTGAAACCGTCTCAGATACTGGCTTTTTGTACATTTAGGCCAAAATTAATTATTGCTTGTCATTTTCTCCAGAGATATTTAACCAAACAGCACTTATTATCAATAAATGCATAAAAAATGTTCTATTTACATACAATACATACAAAACATTTACATACAAACCTAAAGGGAACTGAAACTTTTATATTTATAATATTATTTTTATACTAACTATTATATTTATAGGAATAGAAACTTGAAATCCGAAACGAATGTGTAGAATGTAGAATGTTTGGCAAAGGGGTTAATCAGCGCGACCTAACAGATCTATTGTGTGTCTCCATTTATATAGTTTTTTGGGTCTTTGACAAAAACAGTATCAGAGACGGTCTCACAGAGGTCAGCTCTCCATCTCCGACATCAGCCGCACCAATGTTTATGGCACGAATGGTTGTCGTCTCGGCGCATTTAGTGACGAGGTGATTTAGTTTTTCCATTTTTCACACAGAGTCTGCATTCACCATTTTGTTTCTTAGCTTCAATCTACTGAGGTCGTGTTCTTTGAGGAGACTGTGCCCTGTTAAAAACCCCGTGACAATCCGAGGATTGTTCTTACTTAAATCAAGGAAAATCTTTGGTTTTTCTCGGTCGTAAGTTCTGAGAATTTTTTTCGAGTAAGTTAGACCGTTGGAGGATTCCCATTCCAGGTTACGGATGGAGCCTTCCAGGTTCTTAAGTTCCGCTTTAAGTTTGTTTCCATTTGGAAAGAAGAACGGTTCTGGTCCAGTTAGTGGGAGTAAGATTGTTTACCTTTGATTGCTTTTTATCCCTTGGTTAGCTGACATCCAAAGCAAGAAGACCTTATTTTCTTTGCCTCATTTTGACTTTTGACTTCTGACTTTGACTATTTTCTTTACTAATTTGTTCAGCTTCTTTAGGTTGATCAACTTCGAATTAATGGTTACTGAGTTGATCGCTTTTAGTGCAGCTTGACTATTAGATAAGATGGTTATTTCCTGTTTTCGATAGTTCCTATCGAAGATAAATTGTACGCATCTTTCGATAGCGTCGATTTCTGCCTGAAGGATGCTGGGGCAGGTCCCTGCTTTGGTTTTGGAAGCATCAGTATACTACGTTATGATATGGTCACTTACATGCTGAGCAAGCGTTTCTCTCTTACATTCTTTTTTACTGTTTAATACTACAGTGAGACGTTCCTCAAAGTTGTACATTCTTGGTAGTTGTTGGAGGAGTACACGAATGTGTAACTTGATAAATAGATTTGCCATTTAAAAAAAAATGTTTGTGGCGTCCTATATCAAAGTTGGGACAACCTGTATAAAATATTCTTACACCAAAAGGAGCACAATTCGAAATACTAATCGACATGTTCAAATACATTTCCAAAAATAAAATATCTTTGATGAATTTATTCTAAGTTCATACTATAGGATTATAAAACAATCCATATTGTTTTATGAATTAGATTTAGTACCACATACTAATTTGTAAAGGAATTTTCAGTAAAACCCAAAAAATTTGTGTAGGTACTGCTTAAAATGCAGATAATAATAATATACATCAGGAAGTTGTAAATTTTTTTAGCAGCCAAACTTGAAAGCTCCTTACGCTTTATACAATTCTATCTAAAATAATTAATTAAATAAAGTAAATAACTTAAATACCTGATAATCTTAGTTAATAGAAAATATAATCCTTTAAATATACTATGTATAATGCTTCAGATGAACGTTATTTCAATCATTTTGAGCCAGCCAATCAGATGCAAGCGTCTGTTTATATATACAACATCGACCAATTGTTATAAAACTTTCAACTTCTTATCGAACAACATACAACAAGTCAGTGACATTTATATATTAGTTTATGTGTTACGCTAATAAGTCTTGTCAAAAATTCATAGTGTAAGGTAGTTCTCTTAAAAAAACAACATGGAAAACGGTACAAGCGTTTCAACTACAACATTGGTCGGAAGGAAGACGGCAAAGGAAGAGATTTCATTATTAAGAAGACTACTATGGCTTGCAAACTATATTTATCATCAGGCATTGACACTTTTAAGCGTTTTGTTGATATGGATCTACATTGAGAATTATGATAGAACAACTTTACGATTTTGGCATGTATTGTTGTCCACTGCAGCTGTAAGTAATTTATTTTTGCATATTTTAAAGGCTAGTATTAATTATTATGTTTCGCAACATGGATAGCGCCTTTTTTCAATTGTTACTTTAATTATTTTTCCTATTATTTAAGAAATTGGAATATACTGACTGAAAAAAGGTAAAACCCCTATAATCCGATTTAATTTTTTATGCGTCCAGGCATTTTGCCACGAACAAGTTATTTTTTCACGTTTATCTGTTAAGTTTTTGTGGTGGCTGCAAAATTATTTAGGTTTTTGTGAATTAATAGATATGCTTAGAGTGTGTAGAATTCGGCATTTTTTGCAGTTCAGTGATCTTGGAAGAGCAAAATAAAACACTAATTCACCACAATAATACACCAAAACCTTTTTACTTTTTCAATGGACGCTAACCATGTTACCATGCATCATCAGCAGATGATCAAAACCCTGTTTTGGTGTATTAGGGTAAATTACTGTTTTATTTAGCTGTTGTAACACCAAAAGTTCCAACTCCCAATTGCAATGATCTTGGAAGAGTCGAATAGTAAGGTTAAGCAAAGCCGATCTTTCGATAAGAGGATGGATATATAAGATAAGATATGATTGTAGTTTGAATGACCATGGATACAAGAAGGCTGAGAATACAGAGTGAGGAGGCTTTTGACGGCCCAAGGGAACTATACAGACACAAGATTGCCGATTGAGACTTATATACAATAAGAGAATGGCAAAGTGTAGATACGTACAGACAGTACGAGTATATCGCCGTATACACGTTTAGCTCATTTTTTCTTATAGCCCACATGTAGAATGTAAAATGTATGCGACGGGCGATAATCACCGCGACCTTACAGACCTAGTGTGTAGAATCTAGAATGAGTAAGAGGGGGGGTTTATCACTGCAACCTTAAAGATCTATTGTGACCCCCTTCCTTGAGTCATCACACAATCTATAACCCATCATACCCCTGTTGTAGAGGGGATAGGGTATTCCCATCCTCCTCTGACAACAGTTCGTCCTCCGAGGGTACATACCCTTCCACGGTTGGAGTTTGGCCCTCCGTGCCGCCCTTCCCTTCACAGTCGAGGAGCTTGCCTCCGGTTGAGGAACCCGTGAGGTGGAGGCTGGAGGATCTGTCTCCATTTTCTCCACCTCTTTAACTTGGTCTCTCCTTCTGCTCTTCCCTCTTTAACTTGGTCTTCCCTCTTTCTCTATTGCCTCCTCGGATTTGAAGTCTATATATATTATATATTGACCTTACTTGATATAGTCAATAGTCCTTTTGTGCGGACCTGACCATGACCCTCCTTCCTCGAGTTGATGACTCGCCAACTCGATGTCCTCACATTGAAGTTCTGACCCTGGATAAGGCTGAGCAGGTAAGTGGTGCCTTTCCCCTTGCTCCTCGGCAGAAAGACCGTGCTGGCCGTAATGCACATGATTATGATTGGTCGCAGACTGTTGAACCTGCACTACCCTCCACATACTTTAGCAGCACTTTCTCTTAAAGTTCTGATAGCCTGGAATAAAATACCTTGAGAAGATATTCACAACTTCATCTGAAGTCAATCTAGGCGTGTCAATGATTACATAAGAAATCGCGGTAAGTCGGCAAATGAAGCTCAAATTCAATTTTTTTTATTGTATGAGGCACTAAAGAATGTAGTTATACCAAAATTATTACAATTGGTTAAATATACGTGTTTTACCTTTTTTTGTCAGTCAAAATATTTCGTTTTAAATAAAAGTTAATACCTTTTAATTTATAATATCATAATAAAATAATTAATTACTGGGTTTTACGCTAAATATTGACTTATAGGAATCTTATAAAAAAACGAAAGTATGCTTTTGTATTGTCCTATCTTTATTACCTATTTTATAACTTGGCATTAGAAATTAGAAATTATAAAATTTCTTGGTGTATCAGTATAAAATTACGAGTTTCAGGATTTATTTATTAAGTATATAATATACTTAGTATATTTATTAAAAAAAAAATAATAAACATATTTAATATACTGGGTGTTTTTAAAAATGGCTCAGCCCTATATTTTTTTTAAATTTTTACTCCAATCGTTTTTATAAAATATAGGGGCAATGATAGCGCTCATTTGGAAAATATTATATAGATATACCGGGTGGGTCTCAAAAGTGGCTCACCCCTATAACTTTTTTATTTTTTCAGTGAAAAAACGAAATTTGGTATGTAAAAAATGTCTATACCTATGTGGCGGATTCATCTATCCAAAAAAATCCTTATGGGTTTTTCGCCACTGCACTGCAAGAAAAATCTACAAAATAAAATAGATATTTTTTCTAAACACTTCTGCGTTAAACCTAAACGGACGCTGTTTGTCAGCAGTTGTGTTTACAGAAATTTGCCTAACAAAGAAAAAAATGCTTAACGTTTCGGAAAGTTTTCTCTTTCCGTCGTCGGAAGCAAAAAAATATAAAGAATCAAGAAAAAAACTAATTAAAATATTTAAATTGAACTATTCGAGAACACTTTACTTTTTAAAACAGATACGTCTACAAGAAATCGTTGACGTTCGAAATCGTTAAAATGTATGCTTTTGTATTGTCTATATACCAATTATTATTCATTCTATATTATTTTATTATTAAAATAATAAAGAATGAATGTCATTTTTTATTTTATTTTGTAGATTATTCTTGCAGTGCAGTGGCGAAAAACCCATAAGGATTTTTTTGGATAGATAAATTAGGATTGATTGATGTATTCATTTGCTTTTGGTCAGATAGAAAATAACACTTTGAATAGAATGACATATCATATGTCAACTTTTGACATTTTTGCATATGGTTTATTCGAAATTTTAACTTGCGGTTCGTAACGAAAATATGACTCGACATACCAAGTGTGTGGTATCAAATTATTCGTAAAAAAATGCTTTTTCCAAATATGCTAATGAGCCACCCTCGTTCCATTTGAAAAAATTGAGATATGATTAAAAATTCGATTTGGGCATTTTTTAACCGGCCAGGACAAGACACTAAGAACATTATACGATCAAATCTACTCTTCCAAGGCTCCTTGATTAAGAATTAATGTTTTTAACATAGCCATGGCACTCTAGATTGAAATTTAAAATACAATTTTTAATTAAGCGAGAATGTCAAAAGTTGACATCTGATACGTCATTCTATTCAGAATGTCATTTTCTATCGAATAAAGTAAAAACATACAGAAGGTGCCATTTAAAAATCAAAAGTTGTAGTCATTTCTGGTGAAACAGGAAGTGACCGAAAACAATTGAATAGTCAATCAATCCTAATTTATGTCATGTACTAACATACCAAATCCCGTTTTTTTTATCTGAAAAAATAAAAAAGTTATAGGCGTTAGCCATTTTGAGACGCACCCGGTAGAGGATGATGAATATAAATTTTACACTAGAGTTTTTTAATATTTTTTTACATAAAATTACAGTTGGGAGTTGGAATTTTTGGTGTTACAACAGCAAAATAAAACACATTCACCACAATACACCAAAACACTTTATTTTGTATTGGTTGCGCGTTTTGCATCATCATCAGCAGATGATTAAAACTCAATAAAATACCCAAACTGATTTTTAGCCTCCACTTCAAACCTGTTTATAAATAAATTAGCAAAAAATGGAGACGATGGATTATCCACATTGCCGTACCTTCCAGCTGTTCAAAAAAGTTATTAAATTGAAAACAATTTTGTTTCATACAGAGCGATGTAAGTTCGATATATTCAGTCACAGCTTTATGGTCGAGACCATTTGCGTTCAGTAATCCCTTCAACTCTTTAGGTTTGTTCCAACCCGCCGCAAAACCGTCACCGAACGATCACGCTCGTGCGCAGTAATTCAAATGTGTTCCAACCAAGATTTGACGGTTATCGGACGATCCTACTTCCGTACCAACCTACCTTGGGATCGTTTAGTTACGATTTCAGAACGGTAATTTCGGTACATGGTCCAAATTGAGAACTGTTTGGGTTGACTTGCGCATTAAAGCATATTGGCAGGGATTATCGATTTTCAACAGCTGATTCTGGTTCAGCGTCCGGTTGATAGCGTCTTGGTTATTTTTTTTTTAGTTTACTTTTGCTTGTTAGTTTGTGTGGACTAAATCGTTCGGAAATTTTAAATTGTACACTTTCATAATTATCTATAGATAATAATTAAGGATGAGTAACGATGGTATGACTCAAATACGTTTAAATTACCTATACGGAGGGTACCGCTTAAATTCCTGTCCCGATGTTAAAGGATGGCTATAGAATTTCAATGCATTTCCTACATAAGTCTATCCTTGTATGGTAGGAGGTTCGACTAAACAAGGATGAACCTATGTCTTGAAACCATTCGACTCGATTTTCTGTCCTCCTTCAATACTGGGACATAAATTCTCTCATTGCTCTTATGGGGAGGCCGCGGTATAGGTAATTTAAACGTATTTGGTATGACTGATTTCTTTATCTCCACTTCAGATAGTGACAATTTAGAGTTGATGCCTAGTGTGCAAAATGAACAATATTTAGGTAAGGGTTTTGAAACAACACTTACCAACAATTACTGGATTCTGATTCTCCATTTCAAGAATAATAATTATTATTATTGCAAATTGCAAACAAAAATAATAGGGTTATGTTATAAAATTCTAAACAAAAACAAAAAACCGATCGATACATGCACGCTTGACACTTTTGACAGTCCCGAATACAATCCACAAATGCTGTCCTCCTTTCACGCAGTTGAGCAGCTCTGAACTGTTCAAGAACGCGATACTCTCACTCCATTCATTTGAGTCATAAAGCTCCAGAACTGTTCCGCGCCATATGGAAGCACCAGGCTATGGCGCACCGCTCCTTTCAGAACCGTTCTCGAGTAGCCCCAGGGCGTTAAGCCCGGAACTCGAAGTTCGCGAATGGAGGACAGCAAAAGCGTTCCAACGTTGATACTTTTTGCACCGTCACGAAACTATTCTAAGTCCGCGCATGCTAACAAAGTGCAAGCAAACCGATTCGAGTACGATTTCGAAACGATTCCGAAATGCTGGTTGGAACAAACCTTATATTGTTTTTAACTGAAAAAGAGGTTTCATGTTTAGACAAATTTTCCAACTTCCTTGATGACCATTTTGCCAAATTATAAGTTGAGTAAAAATTTTAATCATCTGCTGATGCTAATATCTAAAAGCGTAACCCACTACATAAAATGCTGTATTTTTGTGCTCAACTGATTTGACATAGAATTTCCATTCCAAAAATACTATTCTATAATAGATTCTGGGTGGTTTGAATAAAGTAAATAATAAGTGCTTGGTTATTTGCAGTATCTTCCACTGATGGCCATTGCGATAATAGCTTTTGCTGAAGACAACATCTTGACTCTGTATTTTCCAAGAAAGAAAATATACTGGGTCCATGGCGTTTTGCTTTTCATCAGCTGTGCTTTTATTACTGCCGGTATTTCTGTAGAAACCCATGCTAAGAGACAGAGAGGTGCTAGTCATTTTCAGAGTGATCACGCCATACTTGGTAAGTAGTATTGACCTAATTTATATTATCTGTTTATTATGTATGTTGATATATTTTGTATGTTGTTAAATTATATTTGAATTTTTGCTCCCAGCGCGCGTAAAGAATGTTCACTTCAAAGTTGTTTATTTTTTAATTCCCAATTAAAAAAAATGGGTTCTATAATATAAGTCTTGTTGTTTAAGTGCAAACCTAAAGTACGTATTAAGATGTATTTCACAAAAATATTAAACCAAACCAAACCAAACCAAACTTTTACAGGGTGGCTCAAAAAAGTGTGAGTAGATTGGGATGATTTTTTTTAAATGGAACACCCTGTATATTATTGCATTTTTGGCTTCCTTTTGGTTCACTATAATGTAATCCTAAAGCCAGGTCTCCACCAAAGCAATATTTGTCGGCGACTAGTGTTGTCGACAATGTTGCTGAAAATTCAGTAAAGTCGTCGACATTTTATGTCGCAGATTTAAGTCGTCGACTTTGTTTCATGTTTCGCTTGAGGAGCGGTACATCAAAACAAAAATCGTGTCGACGACAATGTTTACAAACATGTCGAAAGACGTCTCCACCGAATCAACTCCTATCAGTAACTTTATTCAATATATAGCCAAAAATCTAAGCGTAATAGCAAGACGCTCCTGAACAGGAATTGCATCTCGATAATTTGTGTCCATTTTGCAAATCCTGAGACCAATCATTTGGAGCAATGATTCAAAGTCAGCTGAACTCATTCTTAGAAAATTCTTGAAACTACTTCTTATTTCATTGTGGAGCGGATTTAAGTCATCTGTACAAAGATCAGTGAGCAAGTCACTACCACTATATAAATTTCTTTTCCGGAGGCTAGGACGTATCCAAAAACGACGTTGCTGCCTGGCTTGACGACGCTCATTTCGCGAAATAATAAGGAATGCGGCTGAGATTATAATTACATCCTCGCGTCGTTCCACATGTTGATAAACCTTAAATAAACTTTGGTTGTACTTAAACTGCCGTTAAACGGTAGCTTACTAAAATGCCGTTAATAGGTATGACGTCGTTGATGTGACGCACTTGACGGGCTTTATGAAATATAGGAACTTTATAAGGACTAACCAACGCTATCCACCCCACCAAATAACCAACTTAACCAACGCAACTAACCTCGACACTGATAAAAAAATATAAAAAACAAATATAAATTAGTAAAAACCAACCAACCCCACCAAATGATCAACTAACCAATGAATTAACACCCTCCAAATAACCACGCTAACCAACCCGCCAAATAACTAAACCAATTCAACCAAAAGAGTGAAACCAATGCAATAAGATCACGTTATAAAAAAAAAAAAAAAGTCTTGGTTGGCGTGAGATTTGAACCACGGACCATGCGCTCACGAAGCGATAGCCTCAGCCACGGAGCCACAGGTGCTCTTGCAAAATGCTTATAGGCAGGTATTACTTTCCGCCGACATGAACGACGTCACAATATCTATTAACGGCATTTTAGTAGGCTACCGTTTAACGGCTCTTTAAGTACATCGATAAACTTTCGCTCTTTAGTAGAAAAATGAAGTCGAGCAACAATATTTCTTTGCTACAAAATAGTAACAAAAGTTGATGACAATGTCGTCGACATATGTTGTTTTGGTGGAGACCCGGCTTAAGATATTAATAAATATGTTTTGATAGTTTCAGAGATATTAATAAATAAATAAAAAAATATATTTCCTTCATCCTTTTTAAAAAAAAATATTAAAAATACAACAAATGTCCTGAAATCAAAGCTATACTAGTTATTTACTATAGTTAGTCTGTACTTATTTTCCTATAAATATCGTAGTCTTAAAGCATACAGGGTGTTCAAGTTTATATGCGAACCTTTCTAAAATATAAAATTATTAATGTTCTTCGTTTTTTTTAAATGGAACACTTTGTATATTCGTTGGCAGATGGAGAATTAAAAAATGAAAATTTTTTGTATTTAAAGCGTTTTAAAATTTATATAAACCGTTTTATTATTTATATAAATACTCGGTAAAAAATTTTTAACGGTAAAATACCAAACAAGAATCATAGGTGGCTTTGTTAAAAAATTACTGTTGAAAACCCCATATGTAATATACTATCACCACAGAATATCTAGCTACGCTACGTAGCTAGATATTCTGTGCTATTACGAAGGAATATCTGCAAAACCGTTGAAAATTTTGAAATACTTTAAATACAAAAAATGTTCATTTTTTAACTCTCCATCTAACAAAGGAATAATATATAGGCTGATCCATTTAAAAAAAACGAAGAAAATTTATTTTATATTTTAGAAAGTTTGGCATATAAATTTGAACATCCTGTATGCTTTAAGATTACGATATTAAACTGTAGCAAATACCTGGTATATCTTTGATTTCAAGACATTTGTTGTATTTTTAATAATCGTTTTAAAAATGCTGATTTTTTTTTATTTATTTATTAATATCTCTGAAACTATCAAAACATATTTAATAATATCTTAGGATTATGGAAAGTGATCAGAAGGGAGCCAAAAATGCAATAATATACAGGGTTAATTATACTATTTAAAAAAAAAAACATACCTATCCAATAACACTTTTTTGAGGCACACTGTAAAAGTTAAAATATTTTCCTGGAATACATCCTAGTACATGCCTTAGGTTTGCACATCAACAAAATGTTTTTTTTTATTAAAGAAGCTAGATATGCCCGATTCACTGTTGCAAGGCCCTGTGTACCTCTAGTCGTTTTATCTAATAAATAAAATAAACCATAAACAAAATCTTTAATTTAGCGTTTTGTGTATAATTCGAATTTTCTCTAACTCGATTTTATTTTCGGTCCCTTTGAGATTCGAGTTAGGGAAATGCCACTGTATACGGGGTGTACCAGGCTGAGCGTGCATTAGAAGTTTCTAGAGAACTATAATATCTAGATCGGAGATTTTTTACACATCATTGTTTCACAATATCGATTAAAAATATTTTCAATATGGTGGCACTTCCGGAAATACAGGAAGTTGACCGCAACTTTCTTATTTTAAATAGGTACCCCCATTTTTTATGACATTCTTAAATTCTCTGTAAAATTTTACGAATTTCGATATCAAACACTCTATATCCAACATTAACCGTTTTTCAGACAAAAAATATTTAGAATTTTTGGAGGAAAAAAACTTCCTGTCAAAAAAATTGTATAGCCTAAATGTCAAATTTAATGATTACCACAGCCACTGTGACATAAAGAGAAGACATGTGGTTATCTATTCCAAAAATTAAATTGTTTGAATGTCATATAATATTGGCCGTAGCTGTCACGAAATCGAGAGATTAAAAAATGATAATAAATCAATTTTTTCAAATGACTAAACCCCTATCTTTATTTTACTAGTGAAAAGGTTTTTTGATTAGTTACTTTTTGATTATAGATGTTCTTATACCTAAAATAAATCATTTTTAAAAGATTTACTTTTAAAGCGTATTATGGTTTTTAACCAGTAGCCTATGACTTTAAATGTCAAGCCATGTAAAACTATATCTGGCCATTGACCATGTCATATTGCCATTAGATATCATTAAAATACGAGATATATGTTTATAAATACACTTTATAAAGTTTCAGCAGCAGTATTTATAATATACGAAATTCAAATAATAACTTTTTTGCCAGATTGCAATAAACTGTTTGATGGTTTGACACTTAATGTTAAAGGAAGCTAGATAAAAGCAACAAAAATTACGCTTTAAAACTAAATTTTAAATAACTTAAAAACGATTTATTTTAGGTATAGAAACATGTATAACCAAAAAGTATTGAATTGAAAAACCTTTTCACTAGTGAAATAAAAAAAGTGGGTTTCCATTTGAAAAAAATGATTTATGATAATTTTTTAATCTCTCAATTGCATGACAGCTACGGCCATTATTATATGACAATCAAACAATTAAATTTTTGAAATAGATGTCACAGTGGCTGCGGTTATCACTAAATTTGACGTTTAGGCTATACAAATTTTTTTGACAGGCAGTTTTTTTTCCTCCAAAAATTTTAAATATTTTTGTTCTCAAAAACGGTTAATGTTAGGTATAGAGTGTTTGATATCGAAATTCATAAAATTTTACAGGCAATTTAAGTATATCATAAAAAATGGGGGTACCCATTTAAAATAAGAAAGTTGCTGTCACCTTTCGGTATTTCCAGAAGTGCCGCCATATTGAAAATATTTTTAATCGACAGATCTCGTTTTGAAACATGATATGCAAAAAATTTCCGATCGAGATCTTGCAGTTCTCTAGAAACTTCTAATGCAGGCTCAGCCTGTGACACCCTATATACTTACATCTAATTATTTTTTTTAGGGTTGGTGTCATGGGTATTAATTGTAGTGTCAATTTTCATTGGATTATTGGCAGCAAATACCCAACTTTTCTCAAAGTACGTTAAACCAGTAATAGCCAAATTTATCCACAATTTCCTAGGAATAGCCGCCTTTTTCATAGGCATTGCAAGTTTGTTTGATAAAATTGATGTTGTTCGATGGTATGCCTCGGAACCAGTCTATCAAGCCAGTTACTACTCCATTTGGATCATATCAGTTTGGAGTATATTGGCAGCTTTGAAATCTCTTTATGGACAGATAAGAAATATAATATTTTGAAGAAGTAATGATCTGATTTATCTCTCAGTCTTTAAATTGCAATTAGTTTATTAAATGATCTAGATGGCTCAACTTTCGTTTAGCTGAAATCTGTTATATAAAAAATGACTTTATATATGCGTTCTTAGGAGTACAAATATACAAAAATTTTCCTGCGGAAATGCGTCATTTTCATTTTTCGGACTTTAATATAGCCGACATCTGTTACATCAAAACTAGTCTTCGGGGTGGTTTTAGACATTTTCTAAACATAAACACACAAAAAAGTGTCTGCGGAATTTTTTTATTTTTATTTTACATAAAAAAATGCTTTGACTTTAGAATAGCCGAAATCAATTACATGAAAAATGAACTTATATTTGTTTTATACGAGCCTTTAAGCTGAGGTTTTTATATTTTAATAATTAACTGTGATTTTGCAAACATATTAGATTGGTTAGGATTTCTGTTGCTTTGGTTAGCTTTTCTTTGTGGAGGGTGAGCTGTGGTTTTTATATTTTAATAATTAACTGTGATTTTGTAAAAATATTATTAGATTAATTATTAGATTGGTTAGCATTTTAGACACTTTTAAATTATTTTTTTTTTGGTTCAAAAGTGCTTCATCCAAGGATTTTTTTCTTTTAAACTGTTCTATAAGCATGGACATAGGACTTTCTGACAAAAAATTTTTTTTGCTAAATTCCTGGGTACTTATACTTTACAAGACCCGATAATATAATAAGGCGAATATATTGTTTTATAAATAATGGTGTGCATGTTATAGCGATTGTAGCGGTATTAAGCTGATAAGAATAGATATTATTCATTGATCTGTGTTAAAGGTCGGGAAGAGGATCACTATTCGTTCTAAAACATGAAAAGCAAAATTCCGTAGACGTTTTTTTATATTACCAAGTAATTCGACCGAATTACCTTCTTTTACCACTTTAGTTCCGCTGGGAGTCGAACTCAGATCGCGGAGGTGAACAGTCTGCAGCACTAACGCACTAGAAACAGTCACACACATTTTTTTTGGTGTTTTTATAGTGGAAAATATGTCTAAAATTCAACAGAACAACTAGCGTAACTAGTACCGTTTTCTAGTAACTGATTTCGGCTATTCTAAAGTCAGAACATTTTTTATATAAAATGAAAATAAAAAGTTTACGCACAGTTTTTTTTGTGTTTTTATAATTGGAAAAATGTCTAAAATTTAATACAAACATTGATATAAATGTAACAGATTTCGGCTATTCAAAAGTCAGAGCATTTTTTCTAATCAGTGCATATTCTGATCTGAAGTCTATACTAAATTTCCTCAGAAAATGGATACAGTTTATTTCCGCAGGAAAATTTTTATTTTTCTCAATTCGTGAATGCTTCTAAAAGGCAAAAATATATTTATTTTTTATATAACTGATTTCAGCTATTCTAAAGTCTAATAAATTTCCTTAGAAAATGAAAACAGCTTAGGTATTTCCGCAGGAAAATTTTTGTGTATATGATTGTTCAGAAAAATATTAAAAATAAAACGCAAAATGTATTTTTTTATAGCAGATTTCAGTTATTCTAAATTGCGAAATTTGGAAATTACGCATTTCCGCAGGAAAATTTGTGTTTTCCGTGGTTCACAGTAGCTTTTTAAAGACAATTTTTTTTCTAATAACTGATTTCACCTAAACGAAAGTTGACCCATCTAGATTAGTATCTACTGAAAAAAAAGGAATACGTCATGTCTGGAAATATGTAAAGATAACAAACAAATATATAATTTTTTATTATTTGGAAATTATTGTTCTTTTGTTAGTGATATATTAAGTTGTCTAGTAGAAAATTTATTATTAACTATTAATGAAACATTTTTTATTGGTACTTACTTAATCTTAAAATATTACTCATAAAATTTTTATCACCTGTAATATTATCTATAACAAAATATAGGGTGATCCACGGCTATGGCGCGACGTTTATGGAGAACCGGTGATAGGTTTTTTTGGAGAATTTTTTATTTTTACAAAAGGCACCTATGCTCCATTTTTCTAGAATATTTTCAGCGTTACATTGTTGCTGCATCATTTGAAAAGTGATAGCATCTTTCTTATTTTAAATGACCATGACCTAACCTAACCTAACACCTTGTATATTCTTTCAATTTTGGAAACTACTTTGATATCTCAATAATTTTTCTATTATATTAACGTATACCTATCTTACCTTTTGAGATAAAATATAAAACATGCATAACATTGACAAAAAACATGATCGTGAATAACCATTGGTAGTGGTAAAATCATGAATTGAGCATTTTTGAAGTTGACATTTAGGTTATAAGTATGGAGGCTAGCCTCCATAGTTATAAGTTAACGAAAGTTGTTATATTTGATATGTTTAAATTAACCGATTGGATATTACACAGTGTGGGCAAAAATATTATTTACTTCCTTTAGTTATAAAATTGCTTACAATCTTGTTGTTTTAAATTCAGCCCTATGTATATCATTTAAAAAATCAAAAGACTAATAAAATTGCTTTTCAACGATATTGTCAAGGTGTATGTGGCGCTAAACTGTATTACTGGTTGCCTACATTGTCGCAACGTGCCTTCGTGTCAAGAAACATGGCGAATTCACCAGAAAGTGAAAAAAAAAGAATATTACAGAATTCAATAGAAGGTTCGAGAAACCGTCAGTAGGGGTATATAAAGACCCACGCTTGGCGGTTGGACAGTTTGAAGTTTGATAATACCGCGTTTTAAATTGTGAATTAATTGGCGAAGGTTGCCAGAACCGTTAGAGTAATAGTAGTTGCATAAATTGTGTTGTAAATAGTATAAGTTGTGTGTACAGAGTGAGAAAAATGAATTCGTTAAGTATTTTATCGTGAGTTTAAATTAGTGGACCCACGGAATCCGTAACAATATAATATCATGTTCCTATACCCAAACCTTCCGGTTTCTTAAGTAGAGCTATTTAAAAATTAATAATTCTATTATTACAGTTTCATTTCAAGAATTTCGTTACCATGACAATTTTAAAAATTTAGCAAGTAATGTCTAATTGATAGTTATAATTCTTATAAAGTTTGAATATTTGTCATGGTAACGAGTTTCTTTTAACGAAATAATCTTTGGAAATAATTATAATAGAATTATTATCTTTTAAATGACTTTAATGAAGAAAGCAGAAGGTTTCGGTGTATAGGAACATGATATATCGTTGAAAGCAGCTTTATTTGTGTCTCGATTTTTTAAATAATATACATAGGATTGAATTTAAAATAACAATATTTTGAGCGATTTTATAACAAACGGAAAAAATATTTTTTTTTGATCTCCCTGTGTGATATCCAGTCGGTTGATTTAGATAGATTGGATATATCGGACATCCTTAACCTATAATCCAAATTTCAGTTTTCAGTATTCGTATTTATAATTTAACCCATACATTATCAAGATCACGTTTTTGTCAATTGTACACATGTTTTATTTTTTATCTAGAAAACGGTTAGATATAGGTATAGGTTAATATAATACAAAAATTGTGAGATATAAAAGTGGTTTCAAAAAATGTAATAATGCCAGGTGTTCTATTTATAACAAAGATGCTATCACTTTTAATATGAAGCGGCAACACTGTAACGCTGAAAACAATTTAGACAGATGCCTTTATGCAAAAATGGCCGTGAATCACCCTGTATATTTGAATGATTCTATATATTAAGTATGACGATAGAAATAGGTATTTAATGTATGTACATTTATAAATAATATATATTTAAATTACTAAGAAAATTTGTAGTACTTTTGAAATAGATACTAGTTTTAAAATGATATGGAGGATTAATTTTTCGCATACCTTGTTATATAGTACAGAACATTTTTCTAATCTAGTATTAGTAACTGTCAATATTATTGGTTGATAAATGAGAATAAAGTGCTTAAATTTATCACCAAATCGTACTTTAAAAAAACACGTATCATCATTCCTATTTTGCGGTTAGCGATTTATAGTGTTTTTTTAATTTAGCCAGTTTTTTTTGGCTAAAAAATTTACCTAAAATGCCCTCCGAACCTATTTCTGTTAAACATAGAATATTTCTAGTGTCTCAAGGAATATTTCAGTTTCTTTTGGCTATTTTCGTCACGTCAACAGTTTGGATTGTGGCAATTAACAGAAATTGGAATGAACTGCACACATGGCATATATTTTTATCTACCACAGGGGTAAGTAACATAAGTACTACATTTTTAGATTAAATTTTCCACACTTTTGATGCTCTCAAAATTAATAATTAAATGCAATTTATTGTACAAGTGCCGCTGATATTAATCATTATGAAACAAAAAATTATTACTGATGTCCAATTCAAGTTAATTAATAAAACATAATATAAAAACATAATAAATATAAAAACTACGTTCATGTCAGTCATAAAGTACAGATTGAAAATACAAAATACAATACATTCTACATCAAATAACGGAGAAAATAAAACATATGGTTTTGATTCACCCTGTATACAGGGCGATCCGAATTACATTCTACAATTTCGGCAGCACGTTCTGTAGATAAAAAACACCTAAAAAAGTTCATTTAATTTATGACCTAAAATGTTTTGTTTCGGAGATACAGGATGTAGAAGTTTAATTTTTATTTCGATTTTATCCAAATAATGTTTGAAGTAACATCAATATTTGGATGAAAATTGGTGCCTGGGAGTTTTTTGAAATGAGTAATTTGATTTCAATGACAGTATCACTCCTACTTGTAGGGGGTGCCACCTACATATTTTTTCACTGGTTTGAAGCTGGTTCTTTAATATATCTTTTGCTATGCTCACCTAAGCAGAGTGCGGACCGTCTGGCTGCCGGTAGACGTTGCGTTCACTACTGCGCACCATATCTGTATTCAACATGTGTTCACTACTCCGCATCACAAATTGGCCCTGTATTTCAATAACTAAGAAGGCTAGGACAAACACGTGTAGCATATTTAGATTCATAAAAAAAGCAAAGTAATGAGAAAATCGACTAATAAATGAGAAAGTCCCATAAAACACACGAAAATGGGATACCCGGTATAGATGTGATGCGCAGTAGTAAATCACAGTCGTCTACCGGCAGCCAGACGGCCCGCACTTTGGTAAGGAGAGCACGGGGGAGCGTCGACATAGTAAAAGATACTTTAAAGAACCAGCAGTGGGGTTCTGTAAGCTTAGTAGCAAGAAATTTCATGTCTAGCCAATGTTATTTGTATACGATTGATGGGTCACTAGACAGGAAACATGTTTACAGAATCGGGCCCCAGCTTTATTAAAATTCTTGTTTCCCGACTTTGTTAGCTCTTGTATTACTCTATTTTTATTGAGGTTAAGTAAGTTTGGTTTATTAAATCTAATAATTTTTATTGAGATAAGAGGCTTCCAAGTGAGACGCGCGCAGCGCCAAAGAGCATTTAATTAAAGTACACATTGACCGTGTCAACAAGGCTTAGAAAATTGTTTATTAAAAAATGAACTTGGTTAACGTTAAATACACATACAGTATCTCCGGATTTTCTTTACAAGAGGAAACAGTTTTTTATTATTGACATTTTGAGAAAAATGTGTTTGTTTTAAAAATTTTGCTCGACCTTGTGATATATTTTATTATTTTTTAATCGCACTGTACTTTACAATTACCTATTTTTGTTTTTTTAGTTTTCTTTTTTTATGGCTGAAGCTGTGGCTGTGTTTAGCCCTGGAAACGTGTTTGTACTCGGATTTAGCAAAAAAACTAGAGGATTCATTCATGGTGTTTTAATGACATTCGCTACCATTGCTGTCATAGCTGGAATATCTGTGAAAATTCAAGATAAAATAAATAACAGCAGGAGTCATTTTACTAGTACTCACGGAATAACAGGTAATGTAAAGATAGTAACAGGTTGATAAAGCTACACCGAACTTGTCCACATTTATCATAGTACTATATTAGAAAGAAAATTCTACAATGATACTTACGCGAAGTGATTAAGGCCAAATCAAGACCTTCTTAGAAAGCCTTGTTAAAAGGTTTAGAAATACAGGGTGTCCCAATATTCCGTGGACGTAGAACTACTACGTATTTTTGTAATTAAAATAAGTTCATCGGACAAAACTTACTCTATACAAAAGTGCTTTGTTTGTCCGCTAGAGGGCATCAAATTTTAAAAAAATAAACACATTTTTTCAGATGTTTTAAGAACCGTTATTCCGAATTGAATGAGATTTTGGGTGTCAATGTCTATGTTTTGCTAACTCTAATTACTACTCTAACATTTGACTTTCACAAAATTCAAGAAAAACTACGGGTAAGGTGAAAACTACCCTCACCCCTGCATTAAATTTTAGTATAAATATTCGTAAAATGTACTTACAAAAAATATAGTATTAACTATATTTTTTGTCTCTTTTAAAAAATCGCCATCGTGCATATTTTTGAGGAAAAAGAAATATTTTCCGTCATATAATTTTAAACCTTATGCTCTAAGATCAGGCTGCAGTATTATTACGCTCATTATATTTTTAATCAAAACTTAATTTTTACGTATGAATAGGAGAATATACTTTTAACAGGGTGCCAATGAAAAAGTTGCCGCAACTATGTTTAATTAATATTAAATATAACTGATTTTGAAAATAAAATTACGTTCATATTTTTTTTTATTTATTTATATGTCAAATTAAAGCTATTTTTATTCTGTGCATGATATTTAAGGGTGCCTATCAAAAAATTGCCGCAAATAAGGGTTGCCACTGTTCAAAGTCGTTCCTAATTACTTTATATGGACCCGGCAACAGTGCGTCGGGCTCCTATAATAAAAAGACTTAGGAAAGCGTAGCTACTATAATAAAAAACTTAGGAAAGCGTAGCTCCTATAATAAAAAACTTAGGAAAGCGTAGCTCCTATAATAAAAAACTTAGGAATTTTGTCCACCTAAAGCATTTATTTCAGGAAAATATTTTGCACAAGACTCTTGCAAGTCTTGCATGTATTTTTTTAAATAGATTTTTACTAGGTGCACTTTCTACATAGAAAACCTTTAAATAAATAGTGTTTTTGGTAATTTAATACAAATAAAACTTTAAAGAAAGACATTGTTAGAATATTTGCTTGACAAAAATTTTAATTTTTCAATATTTTCATTTTAACAACATTTTCAACTTTCTTTAAAATTGTATGCAATAGTCGGGAAAACATTATTTGTAATAAATTAAAACAATAATTTTGAACAAATAAGTCATTACTTAAAGATAGTAACAGGTCGATAAACAGGTCGTGAGTGCTAGATAAGTGCAAATATTTTCAGGGCTGGTAGATCTCGTTAAAAGAAACATATGTTCTCTTTACCGTTTTTTAAATAAATCCCAAATAACCGGGTTATTTTACCCTTATTTATTAAAATTTCCCAAAAAATGATTTTTTGCTAAAATTTTGAGAACCACTGGATCTTTTCTGGATTTTCTTTCTTCTAAAAATACAAAACCGCAAGAGTCTTGCGTGGTTACAATCTGATCTTGCGGAAGTGTTGCACTGGTCGTTCTTGGCCCTAAATTCAACATTTATTTTGATTTTTTAGGCTTGGTTGCTTTTCTGCTCACCATGCTGTCATTCCTTCTCGGATTCCTAGCAGCTTTCTCCAAATTAACTTATAGACTTGGAATCAAACCAGTATGGATCAAGCATTTCCACAATTTCTTAGGAATAGCTGCCTACGTTTTGGGCTCAATTAGTTTAGGTTATGGATTAAGACAATACTTTTCTCATGTCACGTATAACACCAACACTGGTTTTATAGTGATCTTGGGTATTTATGGAATCTTGAACTTGATAGGTCCCATTTGTGATTTCTTTAAGTAATTATAGAGCAGTTTAATTGCAGTAGTAGATTAAAATAAATGTAAATATGTATATTTGATTCAGGAAAATGCAATACTATTAATAATACACTATTTATTTATTATTCGTTTTATACTAGATTAGAAGTTTGGATAATTAATCTAAAATTCAGAATTTAATACACTAGAGAAATGTATGTTTTTTCATTTTAGTAGTAGTATACGTTTATTTATAGTATTAATATCTGATTGGCAAATTTATATTTTTTTATATGTAGGTATAAAAGTCATATCATAAAATATTTCAATTAATAGCTTACCATTATCAATAATTACACTCTTTTATAGCGACTCGTGTGATCTATAATAATGATCCCAAAGTAAAGAGATTTTTTAACATTGATTGATTTACATTATGCTTTTTATGTATTAAGATTTAAGATAGAAAGAAATATAAGATAGAAGAAATTTGTTTTTTTTGTGCAGGCTTTGGACGCTACAACAAAAATAAATAAATTCATTATCATTATTATTTTTTATTAAATTTTGTGTGTTATATTTCATTAGATTTTGTGGGACACTCACCAACTGTGACACCGATTTTTTCAAATGTATTTTATTAAAAAAAAAATATTAAAAATTAAAAATATTATTATTTTTTTATTTTAAAATACATTTCATGATTTTTGTTGACATTTTGCTTTGTTCTTCATATGAAAGCATTTTTTAATTTTTTATTAAGTTAAATATTGGTATTGATTTTACTATGACCTACCCTTATCCTATAAACTTTTAAAATTTTACAGAATTATAAAAAATATATTTTTTTGTCCTGGAAAAAGATTATTATCTATTGTATCTTTGATTCTCTTTGAATATGAAAAAAAAAATCAATGGATGGATCATTGTCAAAATTTAAAAAAAAAATAAGATAGTACTTAAATTTAAATACTTTTAATATGTATTATATACTTTTTTAATATTATGTAATTACTTAAATAAAACAGTGCTAGTGTTAACACGGTATACTATCACACATTAGGTATCCTATAAGTATACAGATAAAAATCTTGTCCCTAATTCGTGGTACAAAAATTGTTTTTTATGACGATAAGCAAACAAGTAAATTTTCTTGTGCACAAAAATAAACTCCCGTTTAAACAGCGTAATAACTGGGCCGATCACAAGGCCGGTCAGGCGCTGTGCACAATTTTAGAGGCCATAAGTGGGCGTGCTTGTGCGCAAACTAGTAACCTAACTAGTTCGCGACTCCGAAAATTGGAACCACGAAAAACAATGCTTTTGACGATAAGTTTATAATCTGTATAATCTGTGATACTATACAGATAGGATGATTTTGACTGGATAAACTAACTATTGGCTAAACTAACCTGTCCACCTGTTCCTAACTCTGAGTTTGCATAATTATGATATAAACAATTTTTAACATTTCTTTCAGTATGAGGGGGTGTGACATAACGAAAGTCATGTTGGAACCACTCTATTGATGCGCGAGTATCTAAATTTAACTTTTCTAAAAAAACTTAAGTAACGTTCATCGGTCAACGTAACCTCGAAAAAGTATGGCCAAGAAAAGTTGAAGCAATAATCCTACACGCTTTTCTACATTTGAAAAATTGATATTTACAATTTTTGTTTATTTTAATTTACAAAGTTTGGATGTGACAGTTTCACATTACTGAGAGCAACGACGATTGAACTTGTTCCCATGGCTAACTAAGTGGAATTGTTTAAAAATTATAAGAATTGGCTATATCTCAGTAATTTTTCGAAAGAAACATATTACAGCTTATATTGCTAAAAAGCTTAAAAAATGGCGCTTTTTATGAAGTCATGGCCAACTATGGTTTCCATTTGAAAAAACATATGTTCGTGTCAAATGTCAAAAATGACAGGCTTTAGAAAAATAAAACAGAAAACACAATCTCATCAAGAATGTGATTATCTACATCTTTATCTGAAAGCTTTTTGTCTAAAATAGATTATAATGGAATTAGGAACAATTTTTGAAATAGCCGAAATTTGTTTTTTTTTCGAAATGTCTAGTAGGTAACCCATGAACTTTTTCAAAAAATCTGAAAGGCACCCATGTTTATGACCCCAAAAAACTGCAATTCTTTTCCCATTTAATCGACTTTCTATCTCCAGTAGTTTCCGAGATACCCATAGAGAACATCGTAGGAAACTCACCCTGTATATACCGGGTGCGTCTCAAAAGTGGCTCACACTTATAACTTTTTTATTTTTTGAGATAAAAAAAACGAGATTTGGTTTGTAGTCCACCGTGTTGTCTATTTTCTTTCTTCCGAAAATCTTCCTCAGTATTTTGCTTTCCCAAATCTCTAGCCTATTTTCATGCATATAGTACTATTGGTCGTATCATTGTTTGGTACATTCTGACTTTTAAATTTCTAGAGATGTTCTTGCTCTTATTAATTTTCTCTAGTGCGTTTGGACACATCTCTTTCTTGTCATTATTTTTGGCACAATTCCCTGGGTTACATTTGGTTTCCTTATAAATACGGTTTCCACCCATATAACACACAATATCCGCAGGATATTCATAGAATGTCGGAATGTCCCATTATAAGATCATCTTATTAAGACATCTATAGGATATCCTCCAGACATTCTGAAATCCTGTAGATTTCTCAGATAGAATATCCTATGAATATCTCTATCGTATATCTAATGTACATCCAGCTGAGATATCCAAACATGCTCATGATAATAAAATATCCTAACAATATCGTCTAGATATTGTTGCGGACCCGTACCACAGCAGAAACCTAACTGGAGCTGAAATCCGTGACGTTTCACGAATTGGGCCGCCATTTAATAGCGGTAGAACACAGAGACGTATTTAATAAATTTCCGTTGAATGTATACAGAGTTGTATTTATTTTTTTGTTGTAAATTGAAAAGTATAGAATTAATTAATATCATTCGGCAGTTAATAAAACTACTGCTTAAAACTTTAATAGGTGAGTTTGTTAAAGTTAAAAGTAAAGGCTAATTTGTTTAAGATGCTGTAATATTGGTTTAGTACAAATGTCCCAACATATTTTATGGAGTAATATTTTTAATGTAAAACTTATTGCCAGCGATAAAAAACACTGCCTTAGTAAACCATAAGAGATGTTGTTGTCCTTTGTTTGTTGCAAATCTGGCAGCAGCTTTATCGATCACTTCTATTATCCCAATTTTTCCGAAATGTTGCACACGTATTGAGTTCCGGTGACACTTTTATAATATTTTTGAAGAAAAAAAATCAAATTAGCGGATCCAATATGGCGGATTTTTTAATATAAAAAGAGATTTGCTTGAAATTTAAAACTTTGGGTTCTTTATAAGGACACTTGAGATACTTACCTTCAATTGGCCCGTTTTAAAATATCCTGTAAAGATAGGGTAGGTGTTCATTTAAGTTTCAAACGAAATAAATAAAAAAGCTAACATCAGAATGCTTAGGTATTTATTCATGCCTCCATATAATTAGTTTGTTTTTATTGGCTGTTTTAAAATTAAGGTTTATCTTTTTTAATGTATAATACAATTTCATAAGCAGATATAATTTAGTTACATATTTTAGGGGAAAACTAGTACATGGATGTTTGAAATTAATTTGTTTGCATATTATATATATTTCTTTAATAAAATGTTTTGTCCCATATTCTTTATAATATTTACTAAAAACAAGTTCTAATGAAGAAACAAAAGATACAAAATTGTCATGTGACATTTGAAGATTGCCAAAAATATCTAAATTATTATTTTCACTCTTTATTATTTTCATAGGCACGTAAATGGCAAAACAACGATGTATCATCTAACTCACTGTGTGCCTTTGCATATTTGGTACATATATCACATGAATGTATACTCAAACATTTTTTTATTAAATATCCACAAACGTATCGTAAAACATTTTGCGTCCTGGCGAAACATAACTCCGGCTTTTGCACATTCTTGAGGCACAAACTGAACCAGTACTCTTTGAAGTTATTATAAATAATGTACCTAGCACAACAAATATTTAATAACTATTCCAGACTATTCGCTCCGTTCAGTTATAAAACAACACAAACTACAATATTCAATATTTACGAATGACGAACAGCTACTGCTCTCAGCAAAACGCAAAACATAAATGAACTGCGAACGCCAGTGCGTTGACAGGTTCTACCGCTATTTTTAGGTTAGGCGATGTTTCCCGCGCAAACTCTAAGTTAAGCTTCTGGTTGATATCTATTCTTGTGCCCGTACCGTGTGAACTCGGCCTTAGTGTGCGAACACAGTGCAAGCAGGTTTGCCGCTTACCGGTAGTCGGCATCAATCAATCGTTCGCAATTTTGCGTATACGCATCACGTGTATTGTTATAAACAGGGTATCCCAGAAATAAGTGCAAGTATTTTAAAGGCTGGTAGATCTCGATAAAAGAAACATATTTTCTCTTTATCGTTTTTCAAATAAGTCCAAAATAACGGAGTTATTTTACTTTGAAAATTTCCAAAAAAAATTATTTTTTGCTAAAATTTTGAGAACCACTGGATCTTTTCTGGATTTTCTTTCTTGTAACTTTAATCTAGTACCTATGTTGCCATATTATCAAGAAATTATTATGTGAGCGATATGTGGTCAAGAATAGGTCCCCAGAGACGGCGCTGGTTGCCGGAAAGCAGAAACCTGCCTCCACTATGTTCGTACCCTTAGGCTTGGCCACTCGGCTATGACTCATACGCCCACCGACGTTCGAAGAACGCCGCTAAGAATTTTCGAGATATGTCTGGACAGTCTGTTTCTCTCATATATAAGCCGATGCCCGAAACCTGAAGGAGATAGAGATAAATAACCGATCGACGCGTACAGTTACAATCGCCGCTCTAATTCAAAATAAATTTCTGTTAGATAAATTGTAAATAAGTTATAAATAGTCCTTTAAGTCTTTTAATCGTTATTGTTTTTGTTAATTAGTGTTAAATAAATTGTGACTTTCTATCCACACGGAACCGACGAAAAACGTAACAATATTTAGGAAAAATAAATAATGTACTACTTTTTATATTACATAAAATGCAATAAACCATATAGATAGATACATATTACGTCAAGGCAACAAAATATCCTGTTGGTATCTTCTGGATAATCTGGATATTTATGAGCTTGGTCACTCCCAGTAATACAGAGAATTTAAAACGCCCGCGCAAAAAATTTCCCACAATCCATCTCGACAGTTGTTTGTTTTTGCATCGTGTATTATTCAGTTCCTTGATTTAGTGAAATTCGAGGTGAATTCGGTCGTTTGTCGATATTGAATGGGCTTAAAAATGACTGAAACTAACAAACCTGGTTGAGTTTAGTTTTTTCTTATACTCAAAGTTCTAGCCATGTTCTAGCCTTGTTCTAGCCAAATACGTCTAAATTACCTATACCGCGGCCTCCCCATAAGAGCAATGAGAGAATTTATGTCCCAGTATTGAAGGAGGACAGAAAATCGAGTCGAATGGTTTCAAGACATCGAATGGTTTCAAAACATCATCCTTGTTTAAGGATGAACCTATGTCTTGAAACCATCCTCCTACCACACAACCTCCTATCACACAAGGATAGCCTTATGTAGGAAATGCATTGAAATTCTATAGCCATCCTTTAACATCGGGACAGGAATTTAAGCGGTACCCTCCGTATAGGTAATTTAAACGTATTTGGTTCTAGCAGAAATTCTATCCTAACTTCAACTAATGTCGAAAAACGACGAACGACTTAGGGTCTCACAATGAAAAATTTGTAACAAAATTATAGGTGAAAATTTGTTGAAAAGCGCTTGTTCTTTATCCCTAAACCCATTTTCGTGTTTGATCTATTCGAATAGAAATCCTATTTTTGTGTTTAAATTGTGAGTTTCTGGAATGTGTGGTGTTAGAAATTATACCTGTATCCTGTGTGCTTACTTTGATGTAAACTGTTGCTGCTAGACTGCTAGACTCCATAAAGGGTAGTATAATCTGGTATAATACCATACGATCGAAAAAAACGGCATCAGAAGTGGCTTGGAAATGAAGATTGCTGTTATTTTGTATGTAAAATTATATGGGGAATGTCATCGATCGTAATTTTCAAGTCAATTGAACGCCTTTTTTTTGGATGGTACAGTATAAATTGAAAGCTCCTAACTCATACAAATATACTTCTAAATTTTGAAGCAAAATTCATTGCCATAAAATGTAGGTATATTTTAGAGCTGTTAATAAAAATATCCAATGAATAACGTCAAAATGTGGCTAAATAAAACTAAATCGCGAACGTTTTTACTATAAACTGTAAGTATGAAGTAAGTATTGTCAAATAATAGTCCTCATATAATGTCTTAAAATATTCTATAATGCTCCCAACATCATCCTTGTATTATCCTGTAAATATCCCAAATAATCGAAAAAGGTTTGCCTAGGGATGTCTTGAAGATAACTTTTTTTGTCCCATCTGGATATCCCATAAATATCCTCCTCTGGTTTTTGGATATCCCTAAGATATTTACTATATCCTTGGTGGATATCCTCAAGATATCTATAGGATTGTGTTGTGTTATATGGGCAGATATGTGAATATTTATCCAAACATTTCATACAAAAGTAACATTACAATACAATAATGGCACATAATAAATATAACAATAGTATGTTTGTGTGTGTGTGTGTGTAACATCTTGTAAACTTTAAGACATTTTAGGTAATGCTTTTATTTCCTCCTAATTCTGGGTGCCCGCTCAACAAGAGATTGAAGCCAATGCAAAAGTAAACGATCTAGCTAGAAAAGGAGCAAACACTCCACTAACTGGATCGGAACCGTTCTGCTTTCTAAGTGGAAACCAACTTAAAGCGGAACTGAAGCACTTGGAAGACTCAATCCGTAACCTGGAATGGGTGTCATCCAACGATCTAAGACACTGATCGAAACAGTTCCTCAGAACTTACGACCGAGGAAAATCAAGGATTTTCCTTGATTTAAGTAAAAACAATCTCCAGATTATCACCGGCCGGGATTCTAACAGGACATTGTCTCCTCAACGAACACATCAGTAAATTGAAACTGAGAAATATCGACGAATGCAGATTCTGTGGGGAAAATGGGGAAACACCTGAACACCTTATTACTGAGTGCTCCGAGACGACAACCATTCGTGCCTATGCCTATGGTTCGTGCTATACGGTTGATGTTGAAGATGGAGAGCTGGCCTCTGTGGAGCAGTCTCAGATACTGACTTTTGTCAAAGCGAAAGACTGTATGATCAGTTATAACTGAAGAAAGAGGAACAAGCAATAGATCTTTAAAGGTGCGTTCACACCGGCTGCGCTGCTCCGCGCCGCGCCGCGCCGCTCAAATCATTTTTTTAACATATACTTTTATCGCACTAAGACATATACACTTCAAAAGTACATGTTAAAAAAAATGTTTTGCGCGGCGCGGAGCGTCGCAGCCGGTGTGAACGCACCTTAGGTGATTAACCCCCTTCCCAAACATTCTACATTCTACACATTCGTGTCCAATTTCAAGATTCTATTCCTATAGTAATTGAACCATTTTGCTACATTCTATATTATATACAGGGTGGCCCATCGAAAACGTTCCGCAAGGTATAACGGCCAGGGTATTTATTTTTTCAAAAAATCCAAATACACGTCAATTTTGTTTGTGTGGGGGACAACTTTTGCCCCAAAAATGATTGCAAAATCTTCAACCCTCTAAGCGGGGGTGTCATCCCCCAACTTTTTTCAAATGGGAAGGGGGGTCAAGTGGCGCCGCAATGGAAAGAGCTTTCTATTTTCTATATTTCCCCGCTTCGTTTTTGAAAATCGGTCGTCATTTAGAAAATACGAAGGATTGAAATTTGAAAAGTTTATTTAAACATTTATCAGAGTAAATTATAAAGATAAATTCCTTCGACTAATTTGCTGTTTTTTCTTATTATTTTTAGATGTTTACGCATTTTTTCACTTGCCACAAGGTTGATGATCAGGTGCGGTAGTTGCTAGATAGCTGTTCTGTGACTTGTGAGTTGAAGTTCTTCTCAATAGGTCTGTTCCCAGAAGAATTCCTGACTAGTCAGCACATTTCTCATTGGTTAAAATGCATAGAAACCTGATTGTTGTCTGGTTTCTACACATTTCAACCAATAAAAAACGCGCTGACTAGTCAGGGATTCTTCTGGGAACAGAGCCAATATCGTTAAACTGACTAACTAACCTAACCTAACCTAACTATAACCTAACCACAATAGAATTTCCAAAAATACCAGCCCACACGTTCAATTTCTGAGGGTTTTGTGTGTGTACCTCGTGAAAAACCCTGAGGTTGTCCTCAGCCCAGTACCGACAGTTGTGCCGATTAACTACACCGTTCAAAAAGAAAGTACACTCATCCGAAAAACACACATTAAATAGGAAATTATTATCATTCGCCACTCGTTTCACTCATAGTTTCACAAAATTGCAAGCGACAATCAAAATCGTCTGCGTTGAGTTCTTGTACCAACTGAATTTTGTACGGGTGGAACTTGTGTTTTATTTAATATCCTTTGGACACTTGTACGATTCACGTCGGTCTTATTGGCTAATTTTCTTGTACTCAGCGTACTATCCAAGGCAATTTGGCCCAATACGAATACCTCCATAGCTTCATTTACTACAGGCTCTGCCTCTTTTTATTCATAACGGAACCAGTTTCGCGAAATTTTGCTACTAACTCACGAACAATTTTGCCATAAAGGTGTTTGTCAGGATAGCGTTCGTTAATATGTGCCCCGATACAAGCCGATACATTCATTATTATTAAAATTAAGTTCGATTATTTCCACTTTTTCTGCAAGTGAGTACACCATAATTGTTAAGAAGTTTAACGATATTGAGAAGAACTTCAACGCACAAGGGCACAAGTCACAGAACAAGTCACAGACACAAGTCTAGCAAATACCGCACCTGATCATTCAACCTTGCGGCAAGTGAAAAAATGTGTAAACATCTAGAAATAATAAGAAAAAACCTCAAATTGGACAAAATAATTTATCCTTATCATTTACTCTGATAAATGTTTAAATAAACTTTTCAAATTTCAATCCTTCATATTTTCTCAATGACTCTACCGATTTTCAAAAGCGAAGCGGGAAAGAATAGAGAATAGAAAGCCCTTTTCATTGCGGTACCACTTGACCCCCCTTACCATTTGAAAATAGTTGGGGGATGACACTCCCGCTTAGAGGGTTGAAGATTTTGCAATCATTTTTGGCGCAAAAGTTGTCCCCCTCACAAACAAAATTGACGTGTTTTTGGATTTTTTGAAAAAAAAATATACCTTGGCCGTTATGCCTTGCGGAATGTTTTCGATGGGCCACCCTGTATTTATTCCAGGATCACTTAAAACCATCTTAAATTAATTGAATTAAAAATTGAAAATTAATTGAATTGAATTAAAACATTTAATATTGCTCAGTGAGCGTACTTTTAATAGAATTGTTGTTTGCGAAATAAATCAGCAAAATTAAATAAGTACGATTAGTACTCAAATTGGGTAGTTCGTTAGTCTATTCTAAAACTTATTGGTATTGTGTTGTTTTCCAAGTATCAACATTTTACCGTGAAACATCATGTATGTCAACGCTTGGGGAATACCAGTGTAATATATTTATCTTTAGACGAGAAAAGTGGATTTGTTTTGAATTGGTTACATCGATAAGTTGATATTATTGCGAGTTAATTTTAAATGTTATTGTTTATTATATTATTGGCTAATTGATAATAACCTTAAGACAACCATGGTGATTATTAGGGAAGAAAGTAAATTCGAATTTGAAACGAAAGTTGTGAACAACAGAGACAGTTTTATTTTAAATGTCGTAAGGTTTATTTTGAATTATTTAACACGATTTTCGATAGCGGGTATAGTTGTATATGTGTGCTGGATAGCCATAAGGAACTATCATTATTGGTTTTCATGGCACGTTATATTGTGTACCTTTGGGGTAAGTAGTTACACGGTTCACAATATAAAAAATCATTGAACAAAAAAAATCTTCTAATAAAAAATTTTACATGTCAATATTATACAAATTCAGTTGGTGCCTGTCATTTTAATTCATAAGCAAATATCAATTTTCTGTCATTTTTTGGATTTCGTCTGTTGAAAATTTTCCTTACTCGTTGGACAAATTTTATTCCATAAAATATATTGAAATGATTTTATTTGTCATTAAATTAATAACTAAATTTTATTTAACCTTTAATCAATCGATTTTATGGTTAATATAAATAAGCAGAGAGGCCCGATTCTGTAATTTCCTGTCTAGTGATTCATCAATCGTATAGAAATAGCATAGGCTAGACAGGAAATTTTTTGCTACAGAGCTTACAGAATTCCACTGCAGGTTGCTGAATGCGAATGACAGTATTGACAGTAAAATAACAAAGTAGTTTAGTGTATTTAGTTTTGTTACGAAATTTTGTGATAAAGTCAAATTGAAAAACTAAATATATCCTATAAATTAAAGGTGAAAAATATAGTAATAAATAATATATAGTCTAATAAATATTATTTTTACTTTAATTTTCTACAGTATTTTATTTTTATTAACTTTTAAAAGAATAAAAGTTAAATAAAATTAGTATTATTATAGTAATTATTAGTATTTCATTCGTAATTTAGGGATTTTTAAAAACTTTGTAAAAAAAATGTTCGAAAATACTAATAATTTCTACACAACAAACAGTTAAATGTATTTAGAGATTATACCTAACAACATTAACTAACTGTTTACTTGAAATTTCTTTTTTTTATTTCAATTTCAAATGAAAGATAAGTGTAGTAGTAACTCATTGAATGGATATTGTTTGATTAAAAATAACAATGAAATACGTGAGGGTGATAATACAATTATCAAAAGGATATAGCACTTGAACTTCAAAGAGCAAATATATCTCTCAGAAACACTATCTACAGTAAAATCTCGTCCAACCAAATCATATTAGAATGAAGCAAATGGGGAAATTAATTTTATTTAAATTAAACATCTAACTTTGAAGTACCTACTTATATAAAAAATAGTATCTACTTTCTTAATTACAGTGAATATACTTAATTCGTTGAATCAATACTGTTTGTTTAATCAAAGGAATATCAAATTTACGCTATCGGGATTTCTAATTTTAACAAAATACATGAGTAAGACATTATTGTTATAAACAATTACACAATTCTTTACTATTATAGTATGTTTCAGAGGAATTTTCTATAGTAAATTTCTGTTAAGATAAATTTATTAAACTTTCATTCCTAAGCCTAGTTTTCATAGATTCGAATTTCGGACGATTTCTTAACAGAATCGTCCTTATGAAAAGCCATATTGTTGTTCATAAATCAATATGGTTGTACCGTTAATTGAAATAATTGGGAAGAAGATACGCAACCTAATGGGCAAATTCGTGACAAGGCTGATTTGATTTCCCCTTATTACAACTGAAGTGCTCTACGATGGAGCCTCTACTCGTTCTGCGGCTAACGCATAAAACACTCATTTTCTCTAATTCGGTTAGAGAAGGAATATTGAAGACTGTGCGGAACGGAAAGCGACAGTGTTGCTGTATTAAAATGTGTAATATACGCCAAACCAAAATAATAATAATACGCTTGACCAAAATATCTTGAATGAAAAATCCGCGTTTATGTATTGAAACTTTATTGGTGTTAAACATAGAATAAACAACAAAAATAAAAATTCTTTTATAGGTACTGAATATTTTGTATGGTCGAAAAAAATCGTTTATTTGGCTTGGAAATGACGAACTATTGACATTTACCATAATATTTTACATATGAAATAACAGCGATGTTCATTTCCAAGCCAACTCTGAATTAGTATTTAATTTTATTTATATAATTAGTATATTAATAGCTTTTTTCGGGTTCTTGTTATTATCGATTCTGAACCGTCCTAGAACTCTGCAGCGCATGCGCAAATGAAATAATGTCTTCATATTTCCTTCTGCGCATACGCATCACAGTTCTAGGACGGTTCACAATCGGTAATAACAAGAACCCGAACAAAGCTAATGTATATGTAAGTATATGCTACTTTTTTAGTATCTGCCTCTAATGGCGGAGTCCATTATGTTATTTCTAAGTGATGAAGTATGGGCTACTCAAATATCACGAACTGCCAAATACACCGTGCACGGCATATTAATATCTGTAGGAACTGTAATGATTATATCAGGAGATTCGATAGTTTTTCATTATATTACGCCTGGTTATCATTTGTACACAGCACATGGAATTACAGGTAAACAAAAATAATTTTATTTACAGTCAAATATATGTTATGTTGTCATACTAGGCAATGTTCACATTTCAGACCTTATAAGATTCACATTATCTCTAGCTTTACTTAAAATTGATAAAACTTCTTGTATTTAGTCTGGTTTTGAAGGTTCGTATGACAAAACAAATAATGACAATTTTGACATTTTTACTAATTTCCCTTCATAGATAAATGCAACAAAGTTTAAATAGGAAAGTGCCCATACGGACAATGTAAACACTATTTGGCGCTATTGTTGCAACGCTCTTGTTGTTAATTTCGGATAGCTTCGGTTTTTTCCGGAATTATGTCGCCAAATATTATTTGAAGGGTCGGCCGTAACAACGTTGTATATAACATTTTGCTGAAATGTGATGTTTCCCTAAAACAACGTTTTATAAGCATATTTGAATGTATTGGTGCAACTGGAACCGAAAAATTTTGCCCGATGTCTGGCAATAGGGCGACCTTCAGTCAGTGCCAGCCTTGTATTCCCGATAATAACGTTGTACGTGCATTTAAGCGCTTAGTAAGAGGGCGGTGCAACTTTCACCCGCGGATATTTCCCACTTAAATAGGGGAAAAAAAGGAAACTAAATATAGAGAACTGGAAACAAAACGCGAGAAAACGTTCAAGAGATGCTGGAGAGCAATATTCTAATTTATCTAGTACTAAGATTTTATTTTGTAAAACCAGTCAAAGTAAAAAATAGCTCGGTTATTTTGGACTTATTTGAAAAACGGTAAAGAGGAAAAATGTTTCTTTTGACCAGATCTACCACACCTTAAAATACTTGCACTTATTTCTGAGACACCCTGTATAAGGACATATGTATGTGAAATACCTATGAAACATAGGAAACCGACGCGACGTTATGCCACGATCCACAATGGTTTTTGTAGTTCACAGTTCACAACACAGTTTTTTAGTTTTTAATGCCACTTTTTCACAATTATCACCGGTTTGAGTATAAGTAAAATTTAAATTAAACTCACAAGATAGCAATAATTACTTTCAGAATGGACGCTTTAAACACTTTTCGGTATTTTTCAATGAGGGCGGTTTAAATTTTGAAAGATTTTATAATTTTTGAAGATTCTGACTTTGACAAAAGAAAATGACAAAAGAAAATTTTGACAGGCTTTCCAATCTAAATTTATTTCCTTTATCTATGTTTCCCTTCTTTTTCAAAATAAAATAATATACCTTTTTTAGTAATGGCGTGGTAGTAATAAAAAAAGTATTAAAAACCTTCAATATGAAAGTTTTCATTAGTGTCTCGTTAAAGATTAATTTTAATATTTTTTTTAATAATAAAACATTTGTAAAAGATTAACAAATACGACAGTATTGAAACGCTTTCCCGCTCGCTATGTGATAATTAATGTGATATATATTCTGCATTTACAGGTTTTGTCTCCATGATTTGCATAATTTTATCTATCCCTGTTGGTATAGCAGTGAAATATCTCCGAAATATCAAGCATTACTTACCACTATCCTCAGCAGGCTGCAAGTTCGTCCACAACATCTTGGGAATCTTAGGTTACGGAATAGGTATCATGAGTCTGTGTTTTGCATTCTACACAAATTGGTTTGTATATTATACGGAATACGAATCAAGAATTTTAGCGTTGACAGTGACGATTCTAGCAGCCGCCTGGACAATGAATGGAGCAGTAGTATCATTGTATCATCAAATGAAATCACTTATATTTTAATATTTATTATGAATAAACTGATTTTGTTTAGTTTCACTGTATTCATCTTATGCCATCTTTTGTGGTCTCTAGGATCGAAAAATAAACGGCATCGAGCTGGCTTTCTAACGATGATATTCATATCTCCTAAACTATTTCTTCGTCTAAATTGTGATATGTATCTAAATAAATAAGAATATTTGGTTTGTAGTACTAAAGAAATTATAACAAAAATGAGAAAATATAAAAAATTGATATCTAACTACAGACTATATTATAATTTCTGTATTTTGTAGTGTAATCAAACTATAGTCAGTGCTTCTCACGACGATATTCCTGGACACCAGAACACTTCATCTCTCAGTGCACCCAGAACCATTGGTGCCTTGAACTTTGGTACGACTAATATCGGATATACAGGGTGTCCCAGGCTGAGCGTGCATTAGAAGTTTCTAGAGATTCACAACATCTAGTTTAGAGATTTTTTGGACATCGTAGTTTCACAACGAGATCTATCGATTAAAAATATTTTCAATATGGTGGCACCTCCGGAAATACCGGAAGTTGACAGCAACTTTCTTACTTTAAATGGGTGCCCCCATTTTTTTATTACATACTTAAATTCTCTGTAAAATTTTATGAATTTTAATATTAAACACGCTATATCTAATTTATCATTGACCGTTTTTGAGGAAAAAAATATTTAAAATTTTTGAACAAAAAAAACTGCCTGTCAAAAATATGTGTTTAGTCTAAACGTCAAATTTAGTGATTACTACACTGTGCCATAAAGAGAAAACATGTGGTTACCTATTTCAAAAATTAAATTGTTCGAATGTCATATATATAATGGCCGCAGCTGTCATAGAATTGAGCGATTAAAAAATTATCATAAATCGTTTTTTTCAAATGGAAACCCATTTTTTTATTTCACTAGTGAAAAGGCTTTTTAATTCGTTACTTTTTGACTATACATGTTCCTATACCTAAAATAAATCGTTTTTAAGTTATTTAAGATTTAGTTTTAAAGCGTATATTTTTCTTGATATTAACAAGTAGCCTATGACTTTAAACGTCAAGTGATGTAAAACAATAGATCTGGCCATGTCATACTTTGACGCTTTGTTCAAAAAGCAGCATGATTTCCGAGTCAACTTTGCTCTATTTTTTTTTCGATCATACGGAATATTACTAAAAATATCAACTATTAGATAATATCACTAAAGAGCGAAAATACGAGATATATTTTTATAAATACACTTTTTAAACTCTTAAGTTGGCAGTATTTATTATATAGGAAACTGTACCCCCTCTTTTTTTAGTCCCTAATTTCCATGACAGCTACCGTCATTATTATATGACTTTTGATCAATTTAATTTTTGAAATAGATAGCCACATATCTTCTCTTTATGTCACAGTGGCTGTGGTAATCACTAAATTTGACTTTTAGGCTATATAAATTTTTTTGACAGGTAGGTTTTTTCGTCCAAAAATTTAAAATATTTTTTTTTCTCTAAAACGGTTAATGTTAGATATAGTGTGTTTAACATCAATATTCATAGAATTTTCACAAATAATTTAAGTATGTAATAAAAAATGGGGACACCCATTTAAAATAAGAAAGTTGCTGTCAACTTCCGATATTTCCGAAAGTGCCATCATATTGAAAATATTTTTAATCGATAGATCTTGTTGTAAAACAATGATGTGCAAACAATTTCCGATCTAGATATTGTGGTTCTCTAGGAACTTCTAATGCACGCTCAACCTGGAACACCCTGTATACTACCCTCTATTAAACCGCCTGAGATACTGGCTTTTGTCAAAGCCCCCGGACTGTATGATAAGTTATAACTGAAGAAAGGGGGGAACACAATAGATTTGTAGGATCGCGGTGACCGGGTTAACCCCTTCCTAGTCATTCTACATTCTACATGTCTAATGTAAAATTAGTTTATGTGGTTTATGTTAAAGAGTATTACCACAGAACAGATAGAAATATGTATGTATCTGCTCTGGGGTATTAGTCCTCCATTCATGAATTTCAAATTCCAGATCTTTAAGCCTGGGCTACTCGAGAACGGTTCTGAAAGGAGCTGTGCACCATAAACTGGTGCCTTAACATGTCAATTGTCAAGTTGAAAACATTGTCAAACTTGAAAAAGTTAATACCAAAGGATGCTTTTGGGTAAGCTAGGCTATATGAATCGCTTCAATACCCCTTGCACCCCAAAAAATATCTTCATAATTTTTAAATCCGGAACCAAAAAAGTGGCGAACCGTCAATCATTATTCTTAACCAAACTTAATAGCTGGAAACTCCGACCACTTATTTATAGGAAGGTGCTCAAGGGGAAAAGGGATCTCGGCGCGGAATAGTTCTGAACTTTATAACTTAATTGAATGAAGGGAAAGTATCGCGTTCTTGGACAGTTCAGAGCTGCAAAACTGCGTGAATGGAGGACAGTATATGTCATAATTTCTCACCAGTACTTTTTAACCAATCAAAATGGTTTATTTGGACAGGTCACCATGGCGATGCATGTATTTCATCAGAAAATTTTCCCTCTAGGATGGGTAACCAACAGCAAATTATATCCAGAAAAACATAAATTCAATAAAATAGTCATTTTCTGTCGTGGAAAAAATTATATTTTATTTAAATATTGTTATACAAACTACTACACATAATACTTTTTTATTTCTACTACTTTGTTTTTTCAATTATTATATCTTTATTAAGGCAATAAATAATAGTTTTTTTTTCTAAAATTCGAATTAATTAATGCTTTGACCATAGTCTACCAATCAGGTTGCATATCATACACATCTCTTCTATATCGAATTTTTTCTATATCTAATTTTGGCAGTGCTTGATTTAAAAAAAGCAGTAGTAAACATACATACAGAATATAAGAGAAATTTAACTTTAGCTTCTTTTACTTAAAATAAGAAAAAAATATTACAAAAAATGTATAAAAAATTATCTGAAAAATGAAACTCTATGGCAACCGTGGCATTATTATTTCTGCTATAACTAAACGGTAGAAGAAACTATTTTAATGATTTAAATTACTTATTTTTATATTAATTTTCATCTTAAACATATATACAATCACAGATAAACTATTTAAAATTTATTTTGAAAAGGAGTATTCTTGTCCATTTTAAAATATTTTATAGAAAAAAATATGGAATTATCAAATTATATTTTGGTTCTTCACAATGAAAGTATAGAAATATTCTTTTTGGCTTGTATATACAGAATATTTTGAGGACATTTAGACAAATGTTATTAAAATTAATTAGTAAGAGGTTTTTACTGTTTTTACTGTAACAATATTAATATCAATATTCATAAAATATTATAGCAACTGATTTTCTGGACCATGTTCAAAAATTCTTCAATTTATTCTGCATATACAATTTTCATTCATTAAAAATCAATTCATTTTCAAAAATAATCCAATGTCTTTACGATTATATAGTTAAAAATCATCTACTTTACACACTATACTTCTTTCATACCACTATAGATATCTTAATACACAGTACAGACAACTTTTGAAGGCAATCATTTTATTCTTATTCAAAAATTGTATGTTACTTATTACACGATGAGCTCATTTAGTACCCAATTATATAATTTGCTATTTGGTTAAGTTAAATTAATTACATAATTAATGATAATTTTGAAATGTAATAATATATTTGGGTAGTTAGTAGTTGACGCCATATTGCTCGTATATTAATTATAGTTGTCTAAAGTTAATATGACTGATTGAATCGGTCATGACAATAACTTTATATGGTTGAATGGTCTAGAGTCTAGAGCCTTCAAGTTTGACATCGAGACAAACCTTTTAAATTACCTTCAAAACTTTTAAAATTCTAAATTCCAGATAACAGCTATATTGTTTGTCTAGATTTTTATCAAAGTTTATATGATTATAGACAGAAAACACTTATGGTATTTATAATGGAATATTTATTAACAAGGAAATTATTAGTTTATTAAGAGGAAAATATAATAATACACTTTATGTAAATAATATTATGTACAGAAAAAATATATTTGTAATTTTTATACACAGTGTGTACCTAAAAGTTCGATTTTTTATTATTGAGTTACTGAAAAAAGTTTGTGCAGAATTGCATGAGCATAACTAATACAAAAAAAAATAATTTTGACATATGACATACGATAATCTGCCATTGTAGCAAAGTAAAAATTCTCTTTACATATGGAAAAAGGTGGAATAGGTTACGAAATATCGAAAAAAGTTAAATAGTTGTTCAGAATGTGATGAAGAGTGCTTTCATTTTAATTTGTCCTTGTTGTTTATATAATGTAAGAGTTTATATTTTTAAGTATTTTGTAGCATTTATAAAGTTGTGATTATCAAATATAAAAATATATAAAAAAGACTAAATGAGCTCATTGAACACAATATTCATTCTAAAAAGATTTTTGACAAATGAGATGGTTAAAATTAAATATATTTAGCAAGATTTTCAAGAATATCATATCCTCATAGATAAAGAACCTTCAAAATATCTAAATATAGTATAATTTATTTCTGGTATAATATTTGTTCTTCTTTTGCTAAGTCCACGTGACGTTTTTGTTCATGAAATTTCGCTTCCAATAAATTAACAACGAAGAAAATAAGACTAGTCCTAAATAAACTATCGGTGTTAGTAACCTATCAGTTCCGTTCGTCCTAGGAATACTCGATTCTCCTAGAATTTAGACAGCTCTAGACTTCCCAAACTCTCAATCTTATGACAGCTTCATTCATATTGGTCTTGCTGTTGTTGTCCTTTGCAGGATTCGCAGCAGTTTTTAGTATAGTAGGCGTAGTGGCAGAGTCTGGCTTGAACCGCCAGCTTGCATTTCGATATTCTATCTACGCAAGAGCTGGATCCTACACGGTTTCCTGATTCTAAAAACGAACTACGTAAGTTGGTTTTACTGTTAATAAAAAATATTGCCAGTTCCACAGCTTAATTCAATATCAGCTAGTCATTTTTATCAGCGCACCACCTTTGAAGTGAGGATGTCAAGTACTAAGTCATATAATACCTCGTATAATACCAAGAGATCTGATATAGTTATTGACGTGGAATTACTTAACGCGCGATGGGAGTAAAAATTCAAGGCTGTGACACACTAGACGCGCCAGGAGAAGTGGTAACGACCGGAAGTTAATACGAAGCGTCATAATTCGGGCCCTATGTGAGCTAGGGGGCTGAAACTCGGAATGTAGCTCGAAGAGCCCTACCTTTTCATGATATTTTGACGACGTTTCGTGCGCTACGAAACCCAATTATAAATGAATCAAATCAAAAAATCGTCCGATTTAAATGGAATTTGGAATGTCGATTGATTGGACCAAAGTCAACTTAACCGTGTACGACACGCGTCACTGTGACAGTTAGTTTTGACGCAAGAAACGTCAAAAGTTGATGTCGTCCGATCGCGACCAAATTTGGCGGGTAGGCTATGTGAGCGACGATGCACAGGATCCCACCCTGCAAAGTTTGATCTCTTTTGAGATCTTTGTTTGACATCTTTATCAGGGTGGGACTAACGATTTGACATTCATGAAAAATATGGGTCGATTTCGGCATAACTGGGAACGGGCTACAGAATGACGCCTAGACGTTTCGAACTGATCCCTCTAAATGGACGAAATCATCAGAATTTTTCTTAATTATGGGTCGAATGGAATTAAACTCGGGACGTGGATAGCCAAATGGAGTCCTCAGACGTGAGAAAAGTGAGAAGAAGTCCTCCAACCAAATGGAGTCCTCAGACGGACAGAAAGTGAGAAGAAGTTTCACTTCAAATATGCGCGCATAGAGCACACACAATTTTTTTTATTTTTGTCTATACCTTTGTGGCGAGTTAATTTCTTCAAAAAAGACTTCCGTTTTTTTTGCCACTTGAAGGAAAAGTGGGAAGATAAAAAGAATTGGGAAGATACGCAACCTAATGGGAAAATTCGTAACAAGGCTGATTTGATTTCTCCTTACGTCTCATCAAACACTCATTTTCTCTAATTCGGCTAGCTAAGACATATCGAAGACTGTGTGGAACAGAAAGCGACAGTGTTGCCATATTAAAATGTAATGTAAATATCTGTAATTCGTTTGACGAAAATTTATTCGTGTTAAATATAGAATAAATAACAAAAATAAAAATTCTTTTATAGGTACTGAATATTTTGTGATCGAAAAAAGTCATTTAGTTGGCTTGGAAATGACGGTGATCTTCATTTCCAAAGCCAACTTTGACGCCGTTCTTTGTTTAATCGTATAATGTTATATTAAATTGTTTAATCATAGAAAATCCGTATTATTAACGCACTGCACCCAAAATCCGTAAATCTACGGATTAATCCGTAGTTCTGGCAGCACTGCCTCCGTCAACCATCCACTCTGTCGACTAAAAACAGAAGTATGGTACACGGTACAGTATATATGCAGCGGCGCAGAGCTAAACTAAGTCTCGGACAGGTTGACTAGCGGCGACGGTATCGTCAGCTATATCTCGGACAGGTTTTGTGCCACGAAATCGCCCATTAAGTTGCGCATCTTCTTATTTCTTAAATCAATGGAAATACTAAAATTCCCAAAAATATACCGAGTTAACTAGCTGGTAGTGATTAAGCTGTGCCTTTACTAACGATCTATTGGTTGGTCTTGGGCGAGATTGAACGTAAATCGATCTCGTGTTTCTCTATAATTCTCGCATGCGCATGTTCGTTTCGATGACGGTTTTTCATCTTCAGAGCACAAATTGGAAGGTTTCTTGTCCAGTTCCAAACATCTCACCTCCCTTCTTTGGTAGCCGGTGGGACAGTGGCCTTCACATTTGCCCCAATCACCGGTGAACCACCGTGGCGGACAGTTTCCTGTAAAATAATTTTTTTTTTCTCAGTAAAATCTATTGAATAATATATGACTAAGGAAAGAATATATCAACAAAATTAACGATATTGCGAGCATATTTTAATATGGCTGACTTGAATTCCGGTTTAAGGTTGATTCTCACAATACCTTCCGTTTCAGATACCTTCCGTTTCCCTTATAATATTATATCATGTAAATGAATAGGACAATGCACACTTGCACGTTTCATTTCCTTTCCGATCCATATCCTTTCTTTCCATACATTTAGCGAACGGACTGAAGCGTATTGGAAACAGTGTTGTCAAGTTCTTATATTTGTACCAGCTCTGTGAAGATTTTGTTGATTTTATTCTTTCACCTCTTAATTAAATCTATTACCTTTTTCAAAAGATCCAAATTTTTAAAATAAAACTTTCGTAATGATATAAATTGTAAAATAAAACGTATGGAACTGATACGGAACGAAGCATACGTATAGCGTGAATACACCCAAAAATACGGAACGGATATGGAATGGATATGGAATGGAAACGGAAGGTATAGTGAGAAACCAAACCAACAAAAAGGAGGTGGTTATGACGTAGCTTTCGTCTCCAATGTGGGAATATAAAATAAGTCCTTCTTTAGTTTTTTTATTTAGCGGTAACATTCATTATCAATTACGTAGTTACTAACCATAACATGCTTGTTCCTCGTATGGTTTTGACGAAATAGAGCAAACCATATCATTAGTCACATGTGGAATACCTCTAATTTTGGCGATGCATAGTACTTCTCGTTTTTGCCTTGCTGGACCGTTGCAGGAATCAGAACAGTCTCCCCAAGGACCTAAATAGAGTTAGAAACTAGATTAAATTGTTCAATAATTCTACATTGATTATGTATTTACCTGCAAACCATTGAGCATCGCAGTGTTTCTCACTAGAGCACGCCCTATTGGTTTCTGGCTTGGATTCCGGAGCACAACTGTCAAGTTCGCACAACACGAACCTTGTTTGATTTCCTGTTCCTGAAATATCATAAAACAAATTAGCAAATTATTAAAAAAAGGATAGAGTATTAGGAGTATTTTAAAATTCATATAAGCAAGATGTGATTAAGAATTCAATTTTAAAATGTGGGTTTAAAATCCAAAAAGTGAGGCGCAAATGCAAGACTAGGACTCCTTGATCTTAGACTTGCAGTCTAATAAGTAGCTCTTGGTCTTGGTGTTCTTGCAGAGTCCGGTCTTGGTATTGATCTTGCTGTAGACTCGCTTGACTTTCAAGTCTTTTACTGCACTTTTTTAATAGATTATTACTAAAGGTACTTTCTCCATAGAAACTCTTTAAATAAATGTTATTTTAAGTAATTTAACGCAATTAAAACCTTATAATTATTTGTCTGACAAAATTTTTTATTTTTCAATATATTGCTTCCTTAACATCGAATTGGCATTGCTTCCTTTAAAATTTTATGCAAAAGTCGGAAAACCACTATTTGCTAATAATAAATTAAAACCTTAACTTTGAAGAAATAAGAAACTTTTTTTTCCCAAACAACTTCCCAAAATTATTAATTTTTGCGATGTGATTGAAAATAAAAACGCCATTTTAACGCCTAGGCATAAAAGTGAAGCATTTTTACGCCCATATTTACGCACAACATTACGAAAATATATTACTAAACTGACATAAAGTGTCAAATTCAACGAGCCCGTAACATGCCCGTAACCATAGTTTCTCGATATACAATTACTTACAAGGTATTTTTTTAAAATCTTGTTATAAAATTTACAACGTTGGAAATTATTTAAATTCTTTGTGGCGTTTGAAAAAAATAGCATGCTCTATTGGGAGTAAAAGTTCCTTTTTGTGCCTAGCCTGTAATGTCAAACGTATAGCCTCGCCGCAAAAACTATTACTTTTACTTTTACTCCTAATCAAACAATATACTATTATACATATATCATATTTATCAAAAGAATTAAGTTAGCATGTAGTAATTATGGAAGAAACTCAATTATATTCAAATCTAGAATGCCACTTTATCTAAATAAGAAAACATTCGATTAATATGTACTACCAGTCATGACCTATGCATGCGAAACCTGGACACTTAAAACGGACATTATAAGAAAACTGCAGGTTGCAAAGCGCTCAATGGAACGAAATATGCTGGGAATAATCAAGAGAGACCGTAAAAAAATAGAGTGGATAATGGGCAGGACACCTGGCAAGAAGAACGGACAACAGATGGACAAAAATTACAGCCTGGTACTTATCACAGCCATTATATATTGTGGCTTACCACGAGGAACCAAGAGACTTAGAAGAAAACCAACCTGGTCCCATCCTAAACTTGGGATGGGACCGTGATATTAGGAAATTAGCAGGGATAACTTGAGCCTGCATAGCCAACAATAAACAATGGACCCAGCTACAAAGAGAGTATGTAAGGGAGGCTAGACCATAATTGGAAATGGTTGAATAAGCTGAAAATGATGATGATGATAATACCACTACTAAGGAGTCGACGGTCACTATCGTTTCTTTACAGAAGCGGTTAAGGTATTGTGGGTATATATTTGTATTCTGATTTTTACTAACTGAGACCTTTTTACTAACCTCAATAATTCTTTAATAACAAATGAAAAAAAAATCACGTACTATTTTCTAAACAATATTTTTTTATATTTTTATATAACGTCAATCTATGTTGAAATAAAATGAATTAGTTAAAAACTGAGTAAAAACGTCCAAACCTACCACATTGTTCTGAACAGTGAGACCATTCGGTGACCAACCACGGACTTACAGCACTGCTTTGACTAGATAAACTGGAAGAACTTATTGTTGATATCCTCGACTGAGATTGGACGACATCCACTGCCCTTTTATTACCGCAAGGTTCCTGGTTACAGTACTCTGCGTGGATAGGCCTGTCTTCTGGATGACACTGTCCAGATGGACATGTCACAGTTCGACCTCGATGACCAGTACCACACGAAGCTGAACACTAAAAGTCATAATTTTTGTTAATGTAACACGAATAAATCACACAAACTAAAGCAATTACTTGTGACCATGGACCTACTGTCCAATCAACTTTCTTGGCTACTTGATTGTCGATAGACTGTGGTAACTCATTGTCCTGGAGTCCCTTGAAATATTCGCATTCTCTTTCTTGACAAGCCCGGGATTCTAAGCTGGGTTTGGGTTTGGGACACTGGGCTTCACTAACCACAATTATTTTTCCTAAATAAAAAATTTAACAATTATACCATACGTTATGTAGAGCATCTTAGTATATTATTGAGTTTGTATTAGAAATTTATAGAAAAAGACAATAATGATACGGCAAGGACCTAAAAATTTGAGGCATTAAAAGAAGTACCAAATTGGGAAATATATAATTCAAACTACGAACCGCTGAATTCACTTTTACACTGTGGAATAAATTGTTGGACTCCTTCTCCACATGAAACGGAACACTGGCCCCAAAATCCATCCCAGGAAGCTTTGTTACATAGCTCAACGTTACAAGAAATGGGAGCCAAAGCTGGTGGGTCTAAATGAGCACATCGTTTTTCATTGACTGGGATTTGGTGAGTTGCAGTCACCGTTCTGTAGCAAGCCCGAATATAATTTTGGGTACCTAAAATATTTATCGTTTAAAAATGTCAGTACGTTAATATACAAGCAAACATATTTAATCGACAAATTCTGTTCAAATCTGCAGTAAAAATCTGCCATTTAGAAAAAAAGTGTTCGGTATGAAAGAGCAATAATTCTAAAATATTAAGGTAAGTAATCAAGAATCTTACCTCCACCGCAAGACTTGGTACAAGGCGTCAATCCTGTCACCTTCCAATGGAAGTACTTCCTTCTGATCCTAGTTCTTCTGTGACCAGGATGAATAGTGACTGGTTTGGGGTCATCTCTCTGATTGTTGAAAGCCACGCTAGGTGGAGCGATGTCCAGTCTTCTAGTATCCAAAGTTGGTTGTTCGGAAGGACTTGGTCGACGTAGAAGAGGCGGAGCTATCGCTGGTCCTTCAACTGGTACGGAATATCCGTATTTGATGCCAGGGTTAGCTTGGTATGTAACAATCTACAGATGTGAATTATAGAAAATGAGAATGTGCATTATAGAGAATTGAAAAATATTTTTAGAAATATTTTATAAAAAAAATAAATTCAATACGAAAACAAAAATTCTCGCAGAAACAAATGAATGAATATTACGTTTCAACTCAAAAAGTCATTACTAAGTTCTGCATTTGCTTAAGTACGCATAATATGAAAATTATGTTTTGTAATGAAAAAATAATCATGAATTTTCACCTTCTATCTCAAATCAGCATTTGTGTAAAAATGTATGTCTATACTAACAACTACAACCAAATACTACACCTCCGAAATCCATTTGTAGCATTTACTCTACTTACTGGTCTACCGTAGGTTTCCTCTAATAAGGGTGGCTGCAATGACGTCCCGTAATCCTGTTAAAACATAACAATTGGTTAGCTTAGGTTATGTTTTAACAGCAGGATTACGGGACGTCGTTCAAACCTAAAGCGATTACATTTCCTCAAGCCATACAAAATCACAAATCATACCTATATAAGTCATCAAAATATTAGAGCACTGCTACACAGGACCGGAGTAATGTATTATACAGGGTGCTATAAATTCGAGGTACGAGCATAGATATCTCGAAAACTGTAATAGATAAGAACATGGGTAAATTCGGGCAAAGTTGCTCTTTAGGATGTTCGCCAACATGCTATCAAAATTTTTTTAATGATTTAAGGATTGCTTAGTTTTTTAAGAGAAACGGATTTTTGGAAAATCAATTTTATTTTTTCCTGTGCCTAGTTACTTTTCAGAAAATCGAAAAACTAATTGTGTATTCTCATAGCCACTTTATCAGGACTATCTAATCCTATTTTTAAATTTTCAAATTAACTAACAGTTTCTGAGATACATAGGCCTAGGTACTTATTTTTTTTATTTTTTTTTATTTTATCAGCTGAGTTCAACGATATGCCACACTTATTTTTTTTTGTTTTGGACACGTTAACAACAATATTTAAACTAATTTCAAGTCCGGCTCTGGTTTTTGAATTATTTAGCCTCATTATATTTATCGTAACAATATTGATGAGCGCTAATTAACAATGAATAACAAAAATCGAGCCAATTGAAAGTTTCAAATAAATAATATGGATGTCAGTATTTTAAAAATATTATTTTTAATTTCCTGTATTATAAATTTGAAATCTCAGTGTACAATCTTATAATATGCTTAATATTAATCGTAATTATTATAAATAAAACTTCTACAAGCTAGTTTCTAATATTATACATGTTCGAAAGCATCCTCCGTAATGCAGCACCATTTGTAATGCACAAATTTATTTTTTATTCAATTTTAAGTTTAGCCCTTTCAACAGATTTTCTTATAATTGCGAATGAATTTTGTACTCTTTCAATCCTACCAATGACGTCAAGAAATGCCCCCTAAAGGAGAATATAACTTTTTGACAGGTCCAGAAAGCTCGCAGTCCATTATACTGCTCAACCATTTCCAATCCATCTTCCAGGGTAATTATTTGATTTTTTATATTATATTATATTTATATTATTTTATTGTATTTGATTTTCCGTATTCAATTTTTTACCACACGTTATTGTTAAATTTTAAAGCTCATCAATATTGTTAGGATGCATATATTTAAGAAAAATAGACTTTGAGACATGAAGCATCAGCTTTCTTCACAGAACATTTTGCGATCTGGAAAGCCTTATCCCATGTCATCATGTCATCAATGAGGAATATAATCAATCTAGAGTTTTAATTGTTTCTGACTCTTTGAAAATCGTATCTAAAATTAATTACATATTTATCCATGATCCTCTGAATCAAAAAATTTAGACGCTTATTCTAGAGTGCAGCGAAAAGGAAACAAACTCATATTTGTATGGGTCCCAAGCCACACTAATATACTAGGCAACACAATGGCAGATGAAGCTGCTCAGCAAGCTGCTAGAAGAGATACCATTGATTTCCCTTATATTAGTAAATATGATCTTAAAGTACTACTGCATAAAAGAACAGAAAGGGAATGGCAGGATGAGTGGACAGGTAAACCTTCAAAGGTTTGCGGAATAAAACAGGATCCGTCAACACCCACTAGGACGAGCGGCTGAATCTAGAGTAGTGTTGGGAAAATTCGAATTAAATAATACGACTAATTCGATAGTAAATTAAAACTAACTAATTCGAATTATCTTTTTCGATATAATCGAGATAAAAATTAGTAGTATTTTATATTATATCTGTGGTAACCGAATTACAAATGAACATAAAACATAACCTCTTATGGACGAATACGAATATTAGTAATTAGTATAGTATTAGTATAGTATTCTTTCGTTCGGAACGAACTGAAAATTTTCTCTTAAACTGATTTATAAAGGGAATCGACAAAGAAACGAACGATCCGATATAGAAAAATCCAGAAATCATTGTTATTTCCTATACCACGTAGGAATAAATCAGTTTAAGTGAAAATTTTCATTTCGTTCAGAACGAAAGAATACTACTATTATTTGGTTCATTTCCATCTCACAAATCCTTCAAATTTCACCGAATACCTGCCGAACACTAAAATTAATTTTCTTCTTTTATCTAAATAATTATTGATTGCAACTGATAAAATAAAAAGAAATACGAACCGCACGTAAACAAGGACATACAATACTTATATTGTTTTAGAAGAAGCTTTTATTTTAGATATGAGCTTTTCAATAGGAATTGAAACAATCATAAACTCGGCACTTTTAAATTTAAACTTTAAATTATGGTTTAATTTATTAAACGGCTTCGGCACAGTTAATAGAATACATTGAATAAAGATTTTGTTTTTATTTTTTATTCAGTGATAGAATATAGGTATGGCAATGGTTCAGAATTTGTTTAAAATAGCCCCTAGACGAGCACTAGCTGGGACGAATTTATTTTTAGGTTAAATTTATAATACTACCCTTGATTATGTATAAATAGATGTACAATGAGGGCTTAGTACAAGCCCGTCTTCTAGGTGGCGCCTTGCCCGTTCTGAATTTTTGTATTCCCCTACGATTTTCTTTGAGGGGAATCCGTTAAACCCGCCCATCGTTCAAAAATGGAAGGACGCGAGGTCACATCTATTGGGCCACTCTTATTAGCATAACGTTTCACTCCATGTTTTACGAAAATAGCTTTTATCCTTGTTTGTTTCAACTGTGACAAGAAAAAAGGAAAAAAGTTATATTCTGCTTCTAAATTCGGCAGTTTTGTTGATCTTTCCTCGACTTGTAATTTCGTTTCGTTTAGGTTATGTCTTATAAAAATAAATATTTATAAGCTTTTGAAATTGAAATATACCTTAACGCATATCTGAGTAATTAAAAAATTCAGTTTTTCGTCGTCACCCTCGCGAAGAAACATAAACAGTATTTGTGAAATTTGGATTAGAAACTATTATTTTATTAGTTTATTTTGTTGTGTTTAAGTGTTGTGTATTTGTACCTACTGGATAATATTTTCCAACATATTTAATTAAGCAAAAGCATCTGTTTTACAGGTAAGTAAATACTGTTCATATTTATTTCTAAATTCATATAAATTTGTTTTAAATCACTCTTTGGGAAAAATGTTATAGAGTCTGAGATAAGTTTAATAATAAACATTTGATATATTGATAGATAGATTAAACGATAATGCCCAGTTTGCTTAAAAGTTTAAAAAATACTGATTTTATGCTATAAATTGTTTCATTTCTCACTTTGCTTTTTTGGAATTGTCAGATATATTGTGTATTTTATAATTTTTCCGAGAATTTTTTCTTAATAACTTGATAACGTAAAATATTTTTATCTACAGTCAACCCTGTGTTTAGATAAAGCTTCATATCAGATTTCCTATTTTTATATTTTCACTCAAATCATATTTTTTTGTAAAATATGCTTGCAAAAGTAGCGTAAATTTGACAGGGAGGTATTTTTATAGATATACAGGATGATTCAAATATATATTTACTTTTAAAGTTATTAGTTATGAGCAAAGGTTATGAGTTTGTGAAAAGAAAGGCTATATTTTGTATTTTTGCTTGGTGGATTTGTTATTAAATTGTCATTCCCAAAAATACCATAATGTCGTAGTCGTATAGAGTTCATTTTGACCAAAGAATATATTTTGACCCTTTTTGGATTGAATTTTATTGTTTATATAATAAAATATATATTTAAAGCCCTCTTTCTAAGTTAAGTTAAAATAGGTAATATCGACGTTTTTACTGGAACTAATTTAAGTTAATAATTACCATTATATAATTCATATAATAATATTAAAATAGACTAAATTGTTTATTATATACAGGATGAGTCAAAACTAGATATTATATTTTTCTTTGCTATTTCAAATGAAACACTGTATTTTTATATCATAAATCAACAAAGCTTTTATGCAACTTTTGTTTTATTAAGATCTATATCCCAAATTAATAGTTATTAAATTGTTTTCAATTGTCTCTTTGCGAATAAACATGATTTGTTTTACGCAATTTTTATTAGTAGGTTTGTCGTCAAAAGTGATGTATCTATTTATCAGCGACAAAAATTAAGAATTAGATGTCTAAAATAATTTCCTAATTATTTTTTTACTTGGCATCAGTAAATATGATTTATTTTATCGATGCAGCTGAAAATAATTATCTATTCTAAATATAGTAGTATAAACATCGATTATGGATTTAAAAATTATTTTTCAAAACAAAGTTGGACAAAATTTTTGGAGAAAAAATTGGACTTCTGTTCGAAATAATTGAGAAAAACCCAACATCTAGTTTTGACGCCCCCAGTATATATCGTGCATTATAGTTGATTATACTGCAATTTATTATACACACACGTAGTTTTGTTTGGTGAAAATGAAACTTTCTAAAAGTATTCCCAATTAAAACATATTAAGAATTTCCTACATTATAATTTTGAAAGACGTTTGAGGTGGGCAGAGAATTTGGTCTAAAATAATCATATGTCTAAAAAAATTAGTCTAAAATAATC